ACATTCTCAATGATCAAAAATCTTTCTTGCACATTGATGTTTTATTTCGTAAACCAACCAAGAGCACCGTTAATAAAATCTGACTTTTTTGTATGCGCTGCGGTTGCCTTGTTGTCGGTAATGAAAACATTGGTTTGAGCGGCTAATTGCTGGGATGTTTTCAGCGGCGGTAATTTCTGTTTTCAGCGGTAATTTCTGGGCAGCGGCAGATGTTTTCTCATCAAAATTGGGCAAAAAAATCATTACTTATCACGTGCATCAGCTGCGTTCTTCCTTGTTATGATTAGTAAGCCTATGAGTGGACACGGAATGGTTAACGGTCGACTGACAATAATTCTGCCAACTTTTAGTATTGAATATCTGGAATAAAATGAACTTTATTCATGAATTTATTTATATATATTTTTTATTTTTAAAATAATATTGAATAATTCGAATAAAAACCTACTTGAAACACCGAGAAAATCTGTACCAACATAAAGATCGATCTTTGTTATCTGAGGTGATAATGTTGCCAATGGGAAATAGTGCACGATGTGTTAATTTATTCTACGGTGAGCATTAATTTACTCACAGCAACTTCTATCAAAGTTTTAATTTGCGCTCGCGTTTGACGGCTATGAAAATTCCTACCTCGCTCGTTTCTAACGGTTATGACCTAATTAATGTAAAAATTTGTAACTCATACATGACAGAATCAGCTCAAAAAATTGAACTCAAGTTTCCCAATCTCTCGCGTGCTCCAAAGATAATGAAGATCTTACTCGTGCATCTCGTTGGCATTTCACTATCTCGGGAGCTCCAGCATTTCACTTGTATCCATGGCCGATCAGATGACGTTTGTGCACGCTTTTCAATCATGCGGATCACTGCTTTCGTCCGCCTTTTAGCCCCCATTCCCTTGTGTAATTGTATTCTTATCAGATCGCATTCGACTTGCTTAAATGTGTATCACACAACAGTCTCTCTATACGAGTTCAGAAATTGGTCCGTAATATACATCTCTGGATCATATCACTTCCACATTTTTCATTCATGCCTTCTTAAATTCTTGAATAAACTCCAATTTCTTACGTAATTATTAATTTTTCAATTCATCTTGCACAATGTTTCGGCTCAATTTAATGGTTTTTTTCCTAAAAATTTTCCGAGGAACCTGCTTATAAACTAGGAAAATATGTATTAATATTAGCTGTCCATTCGGCTAAAGTTGATAACATTCGTTGTGAAGAAGGAGCTGACCATGGTTATTTTCATGACACTAGACTATTTGTAACCATCCATTGCTCTACGTCATTTCGCTGCAACGCTATTTATGAATGCCTTTCACTGGCACTTTTCACTTTTGTAAGCACAATTCTGCCGCACAAACCTAACTTTGGTGAATGAGGGAGCGGCGCAAGGCAGCGGCCCTTTCTCCTCTTCACTTCCTGTTGGACGTTGCAGTTCATTTGTGTGACCTGATATATTTGAACGTGTGCACACGTGCCTTACCTCCGCGGCGCTGACTAAACCGCATTGATTTATTCAGAAACTTGCATTCATTTCTTATTATTTCGAAGCGCTCAATGTGACCAGCGTTATTCACTGTTCTACAGAAACAGTGTGCAATGAACAGTTCACCGTTTTTTAATCAAACCGAATTAATATCTTAAGAAAATTGCATTCATTGCTAAATATTCGAAAGCCTACAATCCGGGGCAAATTTCACTATTTCATAGATCGGTGTTCAATGAACGTCTCGGTATAATGTTTTGGATTCGTTTCGAAGATTTAGCCGCTTCCATCGTCGTATTAAAACCTGTTTTCGCACGCTCGGTTTCTAGCTGTGCACCCTACACTGCATGATACGGTACACATTTGAAGAACTCGGACCACACTCTTAGAGCTTGTTCTTTTTTATGTCTGCTTGATACCTGATGACCTCACCGACGATCAGTACTTTCAGTTTACCTGTGATAAATTAGAATAAATTGAAAATTTTGCTGCCAGTTTGCAACTAACCATTAAGGGTACATTTTTTGTCATTTTAAATTCATATTAATTTTTAAGATTATTCGTATACGTACGAAGGGCGAAAGCAGGGAGAAAAGCCCATATAGTTATCAACTGTAAAAATACTCTGCTAAATAAAATACTATAATGTTTTAATTAAATACTTATACTAATTTTCAAAATCTTTTATTTCACTATCGTTAGCCGTTAATTTTCGTCAGTCAAGTGATTTGTCTTAATAGAGTTCACAATATTTTTTATTAGTTTGCCGTCTGCGTGCTGAGATTTGATTGTGCAATTCCGCTGCATATTTCTTCACTAAAACTGTTGCCCGATTCATGATTCATTTCCCCGCTGGTTCAGCAGCTATTTGTGTTTGAACAATTGCGTGGGAGTGGCATGAAAAGTTCCCACGTATCCCACACAAGAGTTTGTATGCCCGCTGTGTGAGTAACTTTAGGTACGTGTGGCAGCGGAAGTATGTTGAGCCTCAGACTCATGCACCGGAAGTGACACTCATGCGTGCCCAGTGCACTCACTTGTCTCGTATGACGCGTGCTGTATATATAGATTATAACCCTGTACATCGCGATGCATTAGTTTATTTAATTTTTAAGATTGTATACGTGTGTAGAAAGTCTGGAGAAAAGCCAATAGTTATAAACTGTAAATGTACTCTGCTAAATAAAATACTAGAATACCACAATAAAATACATACTTAATGGCTGACCAGCATTGAGGTGAAGGGAATATTTTGTGTATGGTAAAGCCGCTGCAAATATCAAGGTATGTTTATCTCTGTCTCTCGGCGTACGTGCACTGGCCTGAATGGCATGCTTATATTAATAATAGCCTATTATTCATCGAATTTGTTCTCTAAAAAAGCATTAGCTGTACTTTCGGCAGTGTCCAATGTGGCGTTTCATTTTATTTAAATTTTTATGAACCTTGTGCAAACTCGATAACTTGCGCTCAAATTAATCAATCGTCGGTCGGTGTACTGTTGATATCTGCGCACTGTTGAACAGGCCACGCTGTCGCTCATCCTGTTTACGACAACACGGCAACCGCGATAAAAAATACAGCCTTCCTAAATAAGCCTGTATAGTACACGCGCTCTGATCCTATACAGTTCTGTTAGGACTTTTAGGGAGATTGTGTGGCTCTTGAGTGCATCGTCAGCCTATAACTTTGTATTTGGTTTTCAATTATCATCATAATAATACCAATGTTTTGCATTGCGAACAACTCACGGTGCGATATTATTTTTCATTGGAAAAACATGTTGATCGTTATCGTGCGTGTTCATGTTCTTAGCAAAAATATTCATCTTCTTAGCATGAGTGTTTATAGGTATTCAAAAAATATTAGATTTCTTTCATCCTTGTTCATAACCTTGAAAAAAAGTTATTCTATTCGGTTTGATAAAGTAACGGTAAAATCATATTTGGCTTGTAATATAACATCATTTTACTTACTATTGCCGAACATTCTTCCTAACCGTTACGTATTCTCTCAGTTTCTTCAGTCGCACATTTCTTGTGTCTGAATTCTACATTAGATTATTGTTGTATGTGCCACATTCGCTGTTCAGTTGTAAGACGTCTCATCTTTCTGACCGCGTCGCACAAAAGCGTCTGTCTTCACCTTCAGTGTGTTTAGCGCGCTACTCCAAAGGAGAGAATGCTTTTTGAGTGATGCCTTCCGCAGATTTTTGTCCGCCTTTGTGCCTTGAATAAACAGTTCCGTTAGATGGAAAAAATACATCTTATACATACTTTTTTCCTGCCTTTTGCTTGTACTTGAACTAAACAACTACCATGACATGATGTTTCTATAGTGGGGCTAATTTGGGGTTTGAAAACTTGATTTCTTTCGTCGATTGAAATGAAGTTTTTGCATTAGACTAGACGTAATACATTCAGTTTAGAAAGGTTTATGTGATGTCATTAGGAAAATTGTGTTGAGGTGTAACCCGCTTTATATGTATAAAATAATGAGGAATCACGTGATGGAATATACTACTTGTAATTATTTTATTGTATGGGAATGGAGCCGGAAGAAGGTATTCAGCATTACTCGTAGCAAGTGTGTCACCTACATATGCTTGATAATTGCACCTAAATATGAGCATAGATTTATACCTTGCACTCAATGCCGCGGTGTCGAGAGAAGAAAGCGACTGCACTGCTCCGTTATTGAATTATACCATAACGTTCGTATTAGTCAAACTAGGACCACGTGTCGTTAAATCGTAGTGTTAGACGTGGGTCGTTAACCTGTAGACTTGATACACCAATTAGAGAGTTCGTTACTTGTATGGATTAATAGTCGAATAGTCTGTTTTAAGCACGGGTGGCATTCGATACTCTCAGAGGCAATAACGGCCAGAACAACCATGTCATGATGAATTTACTGCAGTAACAAGCAACAAACTTTTTTTGTTCATGTCAAATAATCATATCATGAATGACTCCAAATTGTGATAATTATGTTGTTACGTTCGTCGTGAATCACGTGCACGTGCAATACCTGTAATATACGGCGAATATCCATAATCTTAATATACGTACTCCTGGAACATGCCCGCTGCCAAACATTATTGATTAACCATAACGCGAATCATATCAGCAGACTCATTGTTTTACGTTAACGGCAAAAACGCTCGTAGTGAACGTGAGTGTTCACCGGAAGTTCCGAGATATTGGGCAGGAAGTCTACCCTTGAATCTCACATTGATTTGCACTTGAAATCTTCCTGTGTATGTTAGCTTTGCTTCATCGAGTTATGTGAAAATTGAATATCAGTTGGCACAAAAATGTTTGAATTACTCCTTAGTTACTCGATATTCCAGACGACAGAGATTTGCTTTGCTATAGTACGAATTCCTTAGCGCAACCGATTTTTCTATGAATTTCACTTTGAAAATTATTGTTGTTTCGTACTCTATGATAAAGAATACATGTTAATAACAGACCATAACGAGCTGTGTTGATTACTTGCAGACGCAATCAGCGAGAACAACCCGCGTATCATCGACGACAGCCGCGCGCGGAAGCTGGCGGCGGACCTGAAGCGCTGCTCCTACTACGAGACCTGCGCCACGTACGGGCTTAACGTCGACAGGGTCTTCCAGGACGGTGAGGGATAAATTATAATGACTAACAGGCTTCTGATGGTGAAATAATATTTATTATTTATTATACAATTAAATTAAGTCCTTATCAATGTTGTTTCAATGAACTTAAGTGATAATCAATGTTATTTTGAGGTGAGGGATATATTATAATGAATACCAGGCTTCTGATGGTGAAATAATATTTATTATTTATTATACAATTAAATTAAGTCGTTATCAATGTTGTTTCAATGAACTTAAGTGGGAATAAAGGTTATTTCGACGAAATCAACTCGTATTCAACGTTGTTTACCTACTGGGAAGAGACTACCGTATGAGACTACCGTATGTCGGGCATGTGGTCTACTTAAACTGTGTCAAGTTGATGTCTGAGGCTAAAGTAGGCTAAGCTAATTTTTTCCCATTTGAATGCATAGTACCATGGATGTAAAGCATACCATTTGTATCACGCATGGAACAGTTACAGATAGTAAATTGGTTTTAATTTGCGATTTTTTTATGATAATTGTGCCATCCATGAAGGTTATTAATATATGAAACAAAATTACAACTATTATTTATTTTTGTTGTGGATCTATCGCCGAACTGGCTTCTGTAACTTTTTCGCGTATATTTGTGTAATGTTCATGGTAACCTATTATTGATTATTGAAATTATTGTTACCAGCGTGCACAAAGATCGTAAACCAGCGCAGCACACCTCTGATAACGCCCACCAACTCAAGACCCTCCACACCAACCCACCTCCTCCGGTACCCACCGCTCTCCAACAACGGCTACACCACCTACAACCCCGCTCCCTACCCCCCATACAACCCCTCGTATACAGCCTCCAACCCCTACGCAACCCCACACCTCCAGCAGAACTCATCCCCCAGCCACCCCTATGGGTCCTCGCTCAATAAGGTAAATTATTGTCTATTATTAATAATTATTATATTATTGTGTAATTGTAAATTACACAAAAAAATTTATAGTTGAGGCGATTACACGGAATCACAATAATATTCGTTTTTTATTCACTCAATTATCTAATTCCAAATTCAAAAATGCAGAAAAATCCGTTTTTATTCTCTCTTTTTCCATCCTATTTCAAATAGGTTGGGAATAGTTTTTTTTTTATTGTTCCCCAAGTGTATGAAATTCAAAATGCTTAGAAATTCGTTTGTTTTCTCTTTTTCCATGATATTACAAATAGGATGGAAATTGTCTGTTTTTTAGCGCATTTTCTCATTTACGGAAAAAATGCACTATTGTGCTCGCTATGTCCGTCCGTCTGTCCGTTCGTCCGTGACTTCAAGTTTTCGTCGACGAGAAAATGCGCTCTCTGTCACTCACTGCAGTGAGTACTGAGTTATATTTTTTATAATTGTTCCCTTAGTGTATTTTTGACCCATAATTTGCATGACCCATCAGGAGGGAAGTTTACGCAGTGGCAGCATCGGCAGCACAAACCCGACAGTCGGCGGCGCAAACTCCGTAGTCGCCGAACTCAACGCGATGACGAGGACTGAGTCGTTCCGTGACGATGCGTTTAAAAGAGTTAGTGCTCCTTCGTCGGTGTTTATGCCTCCACCACCGCCACCTGCTTCTTTAACTTCCACCACATCAGCCACTCTTCCACATCCATCATCACATTCTACCACCACCACCGCCGCCGCCACCATCAGCGGTGGTGGTGGTGGATGTTCTACGCCTACCATGACCAACAGTTCGCTCAAGTATAACAGCGATCACCACTACACGATGCATCAACCGTCCATGGGTATCATCACAACTCCTGGTCATATGATGGACGGGAATATCAAAGATTTGCCAACTCCTTCATCAACACCGACCACATCTAGGAAAAGCAGGAGAAAGTCTAATTTGTTCACGCCCTCTAAAAAAACTGAAGATAAAGATAAGAGCAAGAACGGAGAGGTTGGAAGCGGACGAGCTATCCCTATCAAGCAAGGATATCTTTATAAGAAATCTAATAAAACCCTCAATAAAGACTGGAAGAAGAAATACGTCACACTCTGCGATAATGGCAGATTGACATACCACTCCAGTCTCCATGTGAGTACATTTATTTTATCTTTTCCGAGTTGATAAAAGTTAACGTAGAAATTTCTACTGAATCTTTTTTGATGATTCGCGGTCATCCATTTTTTAATCCATATTGTGGAAGTAATTAATATTTTTATTGGTCTAAAATCTAAATATCAGGTTAACCGTTCAGTTCTATTCTCTCTTCACGGAGACATGGAAAGTTTTCATAATCCAATTTCATTATTAATTTAGCACAGGGTAAATTTTTGCTCACAGACGGTATTCAAGCGGCCAGGCCTTCAGATACTAATATAATTGAGTTGGGGTTATATATTATCAGCGACATATTAAGTATTATATATAAATCTATATAATATTGCGTGAAGGGTTTATAATACTAATGAAGTTTATTATCGTAGTATAATAAACTTCATAATAAACGCAGGATAATAAACGAAGGATAACTGAAATCTGTTATCGTAGGATAGTTTTGTTGTTAATTGGTTCCTAATAATAATATGCGTTTAAAAATTAATTTTTAAAGACAACACTTCCAAAGAATCCAGTGTCTCCAATCTCACAAATGTACAACGAATTTCTCATTTAATTTTCAAATTAAAAATTTAGTTTTTCAATTTTTTTTAATATATAAATTTTTTAATATATAATTTTTTCAAAATTATTTATTCTGTTAATTGATTCATGCATTGCCTCTGACTTCACACAAGTGTGCAAAATTTCAGATCAATCAGACAGGTAAAAGTGTGTCAAATATCAGTTATAAGATTTGTAGCTGGCAAAATTATTTTTTCAATTTTTTTAATATTAAAAAAAATTTTTTTTTTTTAATTTTTAAAATCTTTTATTTTGACATTTGATTCATGCATTGTCTCCAACTTTACACAAGTGTGCAAAATTTCAGGTCGATAGGATAAGTAGAAGTGTATTAAATTTCGATTACAAGATTTGTAGCAGACAGACAGACAGACAGACAGACAAGAAGTGAAGTTAAAGAGAAGTGTTGTAATAATAAATTTTATTATGGCAGGATTACATGGAAGATTCGCACGGCAAGGACATATCGTTGCAGTGCACTACAGTCAAGGTGCCTGGTATGAAGCCCCGGGGGTCACGTGTCGTAGGGGCGGCGCCCCCCGAAGCCGTCACCTCTGAACTAGACGCCCTCCACCTCGCCTCCGCCCCAGCCTCCACCACCAACTCCTCCAGCAGCGTCAACAGCGGCGTGTCTTCCACCACGCCCGGCAGAGGCTCTATTGGAGGAATAGCCATCACCAAGGATAAGGTTAGAGACAAAAAGTTTGAGTAATTTAGTCATTTTTGGTGCTTTGTTAATTATGGTAATTTGTTAATTTGTGGTGATTCGGTAATTTTTGGTAATTTGTTATTTTTTGTGATTTGGTCATTTTTGGTTATTTGGCAAACACATTTTTTGGCGATTTAAACCGGCATAGGTTCTATTGAGAGAATATTTACTCCCAACTCTAGTTGGCCATTTAAGAGAGAGACCAGTCATTCAGTCAGTTGGCCATTGAAAATATTGTTATATTTAATATAAACTATTCCCCTTCCTTGTGTAAAATTGACCTGGTAATTTTATCAATAAAAAACGATCTTTTTGAAAATATATCTCATTAATTTTTTCGGCCTGGAAATAACAGAAAAATTTTTGAGCCTTTTGTTTTTGTTTTTCTTCTTGGCTTTTGCCAATGATTATTTCGAGTTGTTAGCGATTTTATGATATTTAATCTTGCAATTTTTCCAGCAGGTAACATTAACTTCTTACGAACCCTTACAAGACGCTAATCTTCACAACGGCGGCGACTCCGCGAGTCTTTCCTCAAAAATAGAAACCCCAAACGTAAAAAAACGCCACCGCCGCATGAAAAGCTCAGGCGCTAAGACCACCGGAGACTTGGATGACGCGGAAGGGTTCGAGTTCAGCATAGTGTCGCTTGATAACAAACAATGGCTGTTTGAAGCATCCAGCCAAGAAGAGCGAGAGGAGTGGGTAACCGCCATAGAACAACAAATACTTGCGTCGCTTCAGGGCAATGAAAGTCACAAGAAAAACAATGAGTCAGGCCGGGACCCGCAGGCTGTCCATATCATCAAGACTCGCGTGCCCGGCAATAACCTTTGCGCCGACTGTGATGCGCCCAGTGAGTTGAAAATTACTCAATAATTACTTGATAGGTGCTCAATAATTACCTGATAGTTACTCAATAACTAGCTGATATTTACTCAATAGTTGCCTGACAGTTACTCAATAGTTACCTGATAGTTACTCTACAATTACCTTGACAGTTACTCAATAATTACCTTATTGTTACTCAATAATTGCCTGATATTTACTCAATAATTTCCTGGTAGTTACTGATAGTTTCTCAGTAATTATCTAATAGCTGCTCAAAACGAAGTAGTTAGTGAAGAGTTTGTGGCTCGTGAGGAAGCAGTTAGTTCTAATTATCATCAATCAGAAAGTGGAATTTGATAGAATTAGAAGAATAAATTGTGACTCAGTTACCCTGATGTTTTGATACACACCATTTCCTATTATCCTTCACATTCTAATATCCTGCACGCTCAAGTATCCTCCCTAATATCCTCTAATATCCTCCTAATATACTCCCTAATATCCCGTTGTCCCCACCAGACCCGGAGTGGGCGAGTATCAACCTCGGGATGTTGGTGTGCATCGAGTGCTCAGGCATACACAGGAACCTGGGCTCCCACATCTCTAAAGTGCGATCCCTCGACCTCGACGACTGGCCGTGAGTCTCATCTTGCATCCACTCATATATTCCATCATACATTCACTCATACATTACATCATATATTCCATCATACATACCATCATACATACCATCTTACATTCCATCATATAACCCATCGTTTATTCCATCTATCACTCCGATCTCACGTTCCCATCATATATCCTCATAAGTTCGCCTCTTAGGTCACTTAGTTTTTCGTAAAGAAGAGCGTTTTAGTCACGGATAAAATATGGTGACGGTTGCATTTACTTTTTCATTGAGAAATATAATTAATTTTCTGTTTTATGACAACAGTTGCGGGCCGGCGTCGGTGCTGCAAGCTCTGGGCAACGAGGCGGGCAACCGCGTGTGGGAGAGCAACGTGCACAACACAAGCCTCAGCAAACCCGGGCCTCGCTCGCCACGTGAGGACAAGGAGAGGTGGATCAGGGCCAAGTATGAGGCCAGAGAGTTCCTGCAACTCCTGCCGGTGAGTCAACTGTCGTGTTATGCTTTATCTGATATATTACTTTAATACCAGCCATAGTAATTTAATACTACTAATACTTTATCTCTGGACAAGTTTATGTACAATATTTTTACCGATCTAAAGATATTTGTTGCCTCGGAATTATTCCGTTTTTAATTAAAAGTTTCCATCGTATTTTTACCGATTTTCATGTATATTTTTTGCGTACTATTCATGCCGTTTTTAAGGCGTGTTCAATGACTTATGTTATTGTTCGATAAACGGATAGATTTTATACGTGTATTGGGTAGATTTTCCGTGTTTTCTTTCGTGGTTTTAGTCACGAAATAAGTTGATTATTATCATTTTACATCAATCCTCAGAAATAAATCGATATCATCAAAGTAAAAAATAACTAACAATTCCCTCTTATTGCAGTCAACATCAGACTTGTCAGAGGATCTTGTGGAGAGCGTGTGTTGCGGGGACGTGGCGCGGCTATCGCTGCTCCTGCAACACACAAACGATGTAAACAAACCCATAGCGGCGCCTCGAGACACGCGCACGCTGCTGCATCTTGCCGCTGGTCTGCCGTCACTACCTGCACTACAGCTTCTTATCTGGGTCAGTCTTAGTCTTAGTGCGTCAGTCTTAGCCTTAGTGCGTCAGTCTTAGCCTTAGTGTGTTAGTCTTAGCCTTAGTGTGTCAGTCTTAGCCTTAGTGGGTCAGTCTTAGCCTTAGTGCGTCAAGTCTTAGCCTTAGTGCGTCAGTCTTAGCCTTAGTGCGTCAGTCTTAGCCTTAGTGCGTCAGTCTTAGCCTTAGTGCGTCAGTCTTAGCCTTAGTGCGTCAGTCTTAGCCTTAGTGCGTCAGTCTTAGCCTTAGTGCGTCAGTCTTAGCCTTCATCGCGACTTCTTCATATGAATCTCATTTACATCATGTCTTAACCTATTATAAGTCTAGACAAAATGATCAAGCTCCTAAGCTAGTCAAAGCATAAAGTAATTTCTTTGTCCTTTGATAAGTTAAAGTATAACTCTTTTTATTCTATATTACAGCACAACGCGAACGTGCAAGCTCTGGACTCTGACGGTCGGTCTGCTCTGTACTACGCACGTGCAGCAGGCGACCGCAGCTGCATTGAGCTGCTGCTGCAGAGTGGCTGTCCCGAGACCTGTATTGCTGCATCGACCTCGCAGCAGCAGCAGCAGAGCTCTACTTTACCAAGACGCAAGAGCTCCTTCAGTCGAAAACCTGAAATACTGGATAAGCTACAAGCCAGCATTATCTGAAAGCTTTCTCATCATTAGAACACTAAATAAATATTGTTGACTAAGTTTATATATGAAACGATGAAGAAAATAACTTGGGTTGTAGTCGTAAAATGCCTGAAACTTGGCGAGAACATTATTTTGGCAGCGTTATTTATATTTTTAGTTGGCTGTCTCTGAGGGAAAAATATTTCGTTAAACCAGCATGATATTAATACTGTCACTTTAGATCGTGTCTTCGAAGCACTTGAGCCTTTGGCTGTGAGCGTTTGAGATAGGGAACGATTTAGTGATTTGTGATCGAAGTGACTCTTCCGCCTTGCATTTCTTCCATTTTCATTCCTTGGAACTCAACTTCCTGCTTTCGTAATCTTAGTAACTCTCTGCTTCATGTAGAGGAAAATCTGTCCATCGCCTCCTCTGAATTTCGCTTTTTTGTATATAGGAAATTCTGTCGTATGAACTGATGTTTTTTTGGTGCGGCTCGAGCAGTTCCTCCTGTTTTTCCTAAGATGTTGAACTTGCGCTGCCATAGATCAATTTTTGTTGGATCAATCGTTGGATCGTAACTCGTGTTCATTTATTGCGTGCTTTTGGTGTTGAGAACAAATATTAGAAATTTTTACTAACAATAATTTGTTCATATTTCAGAGTGCAACTTGCATAAACTAAATTTTGCCAGTCATTTCTGCTCACGTTGCTTCCAGCTATGACAAAAAACATCAGTTTCTTCATGGCAGTGAATCTTCAAACTTGTATGAAATTTTATTCATTATACCAAATTTACGCTAACTATTAGACTATCCTATTGGGGGCCAATAGTAACCGCTTCATACAGTGGACGTGTGTCGGGGCTAAAATTTTGCCTGGTATAACGATCATGAAATCTGGCATCGTCTCAGCCGAACAAACATTTTGACTTTTGAGCGCTTCTCAGACTATCGCTGTCTACTCTAGCTTTTGAAACGAGTATTGCCTTTTGACGTGCTGTTTAATTCAATAAAAGCTAATAAGTGTCATAGTCTAAGTGATATAAATGTGGTTGAAACCGATTATTCATGAAGTCTTAATCAATCTTAACTTGAGTTCTTCTGCTATGGGCCTAGCGCAAAGTGATCACAGAGTGCAGTGATTGTTGGACGCAACTTTCTACTTTAGATTGTCGGAGAAACGCTTTTAATGAACTCCATCCGAGCAGTAAAGTTGATAGTGAAAGCTCAGGAATGTTTCAAATAATTTCATCGAATATATGTTAATTTTATGACATGGCCTCTCTAAGTTTCAGTATCAGATAATTTCATGGCTTCCATTAGCTCAGTGATATTCTAACTTACTTGTCTTTTTAATTTGATTTATTATCTTTATTTATATTGTTTTTTGACTCAAATAACGTAAAGCGTATAACTTAAGTTCGTTCAAATTTATATTCCTTGAATCTTTTTCATTGTCAGTCATGTGCAACTAAAAAATTCCAAAGGAAAAAAATTGACCAAATAATCCTCCAAGTGCGGCTTCATGTTGCCAAATTTTCTAAGACTTTCATTAATTCGTTTTTGTTTGATGTAGTTTGTTCATAAGGAATAAGCGGTTCTTTTGGCTGGTCTCGAATGTTTTAGTTCCTCCACAGTTTTCATTGCTTTTGAAATTATTATATCTTGCGAGGAAGGCGTCATTTAATCAGATATTATTGACAAATTTATGGACAACCCGTCTGGGGCATGTTATTTGTGAATGTTAATTACAAAAAAATTATTTGACTGTAACGTTTTTAAGTATTTCTGCGATGTTGAAGCTGAGGAGATTATCTACGGTTAGCCAAATCTAAAAGCGCTACATCTCTTCTATTGTATTAAAGTTGTAGCTTTGTCTCAAAACATAACCTGCTATCCATTTCCTAAGCTTGTATGAGGAAAGCTTTGTGGATAGTAGGACGTATGTCACTCAGAGAAATTATCTAGATTTGTCCAAATAACGATGCGGGGTTTGCACTCGTGTGGGTCGTCCTAATCCAGTTTATCCGGACACAACGCTGTATTAATGCTACTTGCAGGAAGTGTGTCTCTATTTGGTCATTATAATCTATTAATTTTTTAATGTATTTCGCCGAATGTAGAATGAAATGTTCAAATGAGGCTTGAATGTCGCCAGATTTTACTTCAGTTTTCTCACGCTATTTTCTACTTCAACATTCTCTCTCAAAGTCATTGTACATCAAAGTTTTTTGTTTGTATGTAAAAGATCGTGTACATTTCTTTGTAAATGGTTTAAATTATTCTAATTTATTTAGCTAAACTTTCCGAGCTCGCAGCACTACCAAAGAATTTGTAGTTAGCTCCGTACAATATTTATTTGCTGCAGCTTTCGGTAGTTTCTTCGTACGGAAAACTTCCTTTTTTGCATGTTTCAACGCTAATTTTTAGATTAAACTCGACCAGAAAAAATGTCTGACGAACGTTCTAGCAGCTCATTATTGATAGTAGTATTTATTTTCTAATTGTGTACGAGGGCTTGTAGGTTGTTTTATATCCAAGATATAATTTGTTCCAAGTTCCCTTCGTAATTTGCTTGTCCTGAAAGTGCTTCTATTCCACATGTGGTGAAGCGATTCACTTTTTCCGGATTGTATTTTCTTGCCTAATTTGCTCAATATTTTTTGTTGTACATTTAGATTTTTAAATAGGGAAGGCTTGGAAGACGAGGACTTCGTTCATTCATTCAGATAACTTTTCTAAAACACGCATTGCGTTTTCTTCCTGTCTTTTGTCTTTATTATTCATTTTCTATAGTTATTATTTTCCTTTCTTCAGTAATTCGTAAAAAACTTTCTTTTACTTTATTCTGCGTCGGCTGTTTATATTAACGTCATTTTATTACGGGATTATTATATGATTTTTTCTTATTCCAGCGTGAAATCATTCAGACAACCATTAATTACTTTTATCATTGATTTACGTATCTGATTTTATGTTAAATATGTTGTACACGGTTTTCTCGTTAATCGTTTCGTTGTTTAAGGAAATGTAAGTTTTTTTATATCGAAGTCCTGAATTTAGGCCGTGGAAAAAAGTCTGATATTTGTAAAAAGTTTTCATTATATTTTCAGTGACATTCAAAATGTGTAAATATTGTGGGAAATCAGAGATATATTATTTTCTCATTTATTTTATTGTGTTCGGTAGTTATTTTTTCGTGGCTACACTTGTTACTTATCCAATAATTTTTAGGACAAAGTTATGTGACCTCAGAAGCAGTATTGTTCAGCGTTCTTTAAGCTCAGATATTTGCTTTTATGACGCATTAATAAAACATGTTCTTCTGACTTGTTTCAGCTTCATCGTCCCATTCAGGAATCAGAGATTTTTCGGCAATAAAATTAGGCAAATACAATGCAACTAAACGGTTGTGCGTTTTGCATATCCCCTTGTTGGAAATAATTCGGTCATTGATGTGTTTGAACGGTCGTGTTTATAAGGAATATGTTTATAGGTACTACCGTACTATGTTGAAACATATAGGTATCCAAATTGAAACTTGCTGGGTACCCGAAGTGAAATTTTGACCAGGGATAATTCAGAATGAAAAATATTATTGATCAGCATTAAGAAATCCATGAAATTTGCTTCGTGAGAGCGTGGAATATAATTTTGAGATCAGTTTGCTATTAATTTTTGCATGGTTGGAATATCTTGACGATTTTTGTCGTCCAACAGCGTATCATTGCCGCAAGCCCTCATTTTAGCTGCTAGGACATTTATTCATGGTAGTTCCCTCGTAACGCCGTCGATGTTAAAGAAAACCGTATAAATTTCCGTTTTAAATGATTTTTAATATCCCTGAAAATTTTCGTACAATATGTAAATATATCAATTAAACAGTTTTTACAAAGGTAAACTTAGTAGGTTGCTAATGGAGATTGCAACTTATTTCGGCGGCGATTTGTTTTTGCATAACCTTTTGACTGGTTGGAATGCCAGGCATTTTTCAATCAACCTCCTTGCTTTAGATGGTTCAGATTATGAGATAACAAACGTTATAACTAACGCGACCAATTGAAACGTTCTAGCCCCTATCACTAGCGAAGGCTATATAGCGCAAAGTTTTATGATGCAAATATTGGCTTCAGCATTCAGAGGTTACTGAAAGGGCGGGCGTTCTGCTGGTTATTATAGCCTGAAAACCAACAAAATGCGAGTTGAGCCTATAATCTTTCATCCAAAGTTGTATAAGAGATATAGCTGAAGAAAAAGTCTAGGGTAGATGGCAAATAATCCGAGTGGTGAACTCGCTGTGCTAATGTATGGTAATTTGCTTAATTCATGGATCGTCTAGGGAGATCCTGAAGCACAAACTTTACATACAAATCATTCAACTGGTAACTAGTAAATGATGATAATTCAAGGGGCTCATAAACAAAATATCTACTTTATGCTATTAGCACACAAACTCGTACAATGTTGGGAGAAATATCTTCACCAAAGTCGCTAATTCTTCATCGGGGTAAACCTATGTCGTCTATGACCTATACATTAACAGTGTGATAAGATATATGTAGAATTCACAAATATCTAAAAAGCTTCATTCAAAGTACTGTCTAAAACGCGAATTTTGAATATTCGTAGAGAAACTTCACTTTGGTTTTATCAACAAAAATTTGGTCGAAAAATTCCGTAACTCACAGTATATCCGCAGCGACACGTCATAGGTTTTGCACGTCATACGGCTTTCGTGTTGTTGACAGAAAACGCCGTTGCAAGAGTACAGAAAAACTTTGCAGAAATCAACTATTTCCGGAGAACTGTGAGTTATGCGCTTCTTATTTTGACGCACAGGCCACAGGTACCTAGTAATCTAGTATTGTAATATTGTTAAACCGTATAAAATACTTTGTACTATAAGGATTAGATAGCTAGTCAAGTAAGCGTGAGAAGTTGAAGGTTTGAAATACCGTACTTCTGCGTCTTCACTGAAAGCATGAAATTTGACTCGCTGCAAAAGTCAGAGCAAGTTCAACCAATTCAATTGCCTCCTAGTACTAATAGGCTAATGTCATGTAGGCAGTCGAGCTACCGTCGTCCATACATGATAAATGACACAAGTCAGCAAATACTGCACTTAACTTGCCACTTCTCATTAAAAACAATAATAGGCTTTACTCTTTAGGCTACTGGTCTGGTCACATGTCACAGTGGTCAGTGGTCACAGTTGTCAGATCAGAAGCCAGACCAAAAATAATAAATTTTTATCATTTGTATTGTTCAATTATCACACAGTAATGAGTAATCAATCAAATCAATGTAACTTTTATTAGTAGTTACTACATAGTGGCAAAGCAGAGAGTTTTTTAGACTCTCCCTCAAGTTCATTTTTGAGTCCTATAAGTAGACTAGTAAAGTATCCTGGATACTAGCATCCATAGTGACAAAGCAGAGAGTTTTTTAGACTCTCCCTCAAGTTCATTTTTGAGTCCTATAAGTAGACCAGTAAAGTATCCTGGATACTAGCATCATCATACTTAAGAAATTGGTTTAAATCTTGGGTAAATGAGGAAATTGAAAATGAACTGATTCTAAAAAAGCTGTGGTTTGCCACTATGAGTTACTAGTTAGTTAATAACTTGAAAGCTAGTAAGCCATTGTAATTTGTAATATTTTAATCTTGACTAAAAATTGTGGTTCAGTTTTATTTCAAAATAAGATTGTTTCTTAATTTAAGGAGACTGTTTTCGTCAAAAATCTAAAATTGTGGCTTTTCCGGAAATTCCGGTTTTTAGTATATTTATATTAAAGGTCCAAAAGATTCACATCTAAATCTAATGATCCCAAAACCACTTTAGTGCGTTAATTTGTTCGTTAACGACAGCCGCCAAAGTGCAAGTAAAACTTATACCTTTAATGATGACAAATTTCTGTTTTTAGGCTTTCCTGAAAAATTTAAGTTATGCACCTTAGAAATCTATCTCCTCCTATGATTATCAAGGGGACCATCTATCCTAAAATTTCAAATTTTGGCATTTTCTGGTTTTTGTGCTTATCTTAAAGCTTACTTTCTGACGCATCAAACAGTACCAGAAGCATCCCTCTACGCCGAAAAATGAATTTGTGACAGCTCCCTAAAAGGGGGCAGTTTCAACTTTCAAGGCCCCTTCAGTAAAGTCTATGGGATTAATTAGGAAGCTGAACACACTAAAAAGGAACGTCTGACATAAAGCGGCTGATTATGGCATTACCCGGTGCTTATACTCATTTTAAAGCTTACTTTCTGTCTTCTGACGCATCGAACGGTATCAGAACCATCTCTCTACCTGCATTTTGACGTGCAAGACGCGTCGCAGAATGGAGGGCGGTGGGGGGCAGCCTTCACTATTTGAATGGGAGATGATTCAAGAGAAGCTCTACAAATATTGCGTATAGCGGCCAACACCAACACACTCAGTGCCCATCAAGACAGCAAGGTGGGAGGTGTACTGCCAGTTGCACTATGCCTCACTGACTTGGTTTGAGGCTTAATTACGGTATCTAGGCTACATTACGACTCTTTTACATCCATTTACGTCCCACGTGGCCATTTTTTGAGCATGTTGTAAACCTCCTACTGCTCTCACGGAAAACCTATCTCCTCCTAGAGTTTTAAAGCTACAGCAATGAGACATATACCATTTGATTCATAAAGACCATACCTGTCAACCAACCCATCAGTTTTTTTAATTTGTGCATGTTTCGTCATATATATGGGGGAGAAGGGGGGGAAACAGGGAAAAAGTGGAAAAATGGGAAAAACGCGCATAAAAAAAAGTAAGGGGAAAATGAAAAAAGTGATGGGTTGGTCAATAGGTATGGTCTTTACAAATCGAATGATACGTGTCTCAATGTTGTAGGACAAGATTTGTAGGAGGAGATAGATTTTCTAAAGTACCCATTTTTGGCCATTTTCTATGACTTTCACGTTTTCTATCAATTTTTTTTTTAAAAATTCATAGGAGCAAAATGTTATTTTTTTACATTTTACGTATGTATGTGAAGTTTCATCATGATTGGATAATAACTGTAGAAGTTTGTCCGGAGTGTAGACGGTCCCCTTAAGCTACAGCAATGAGACTTGAGAAGTTGAGAGATATAGCCTACCATTCTATTTCTAAGAACAATCTCTAGAAACCATCTGATCATTTTTTTTATTTTGTTATAGTTTGAATTATATATTGGAAAAAGGGGATCAGGGTATGGAAAATTTTTTGGAAAATCCTCCCTCCCTCCCAAACAAATTCAAAATTCATAAAAATGGTCAGATTGATTTTAGATATGTTTGTTACAAATCGAATGATATGTCTCTTGATGTCGTAGCATGTTTAATGAATGAGGAGATAGATTTCTACAGTACCCCCTTTTTTAGCGTTTCCATCAATTTTGTGTTTTCTTTCATTTTTTCAAAAAATTCACACAAACAAAAAAGTCATCGATTTCTGTTTTACATACGTGTACCAAGTTTCAAAACAATCCGTCTGTAAATAAAAAAGTTTTTTTACACCAAAACAGTTCCCTTAAAGGCCAGTGACATTACTGCCAATTGAAAAAAGTTTGGACCATTCCATTATTTAAGAGAAATTGACTTGTAAAAATTTCTTGATGCATGGTTTTTGTAACTTGTAGCATTAGTCTAAAAATTCAAGTGAATCTAACCAATTTCATCCATTCCTGCATCATTTTCTCAATATCTTCAGTAATAAATAAGGACAGCTAATATTTACCTGAGGTTTTTTAAAAATTACCCATGAAATTAACCTATTTACTTGCAATTTTTAGAAAATTCTGCCCCATGGTGGAATGCTAGGAAATGGTTGGTCATTTAGATCCACCAGGCTAACCAGAGTGCTCCAGCACTACTCACTTGAGGGGCAGAGGGGGAGTAGGACAGCCCTGCGCTCCAATACAAGTTGGCCAGCAGCTGCGGTAGCTCACATTAGAGCATGCGCTTGTCCCGCTCCTATTGTAGTTGAACAAGGGTGCTGCCAATGCTGCTGGCCCACTTGTATTGGAGCATGTGGCTGTCCTGCTATTTTTTGCCACTGCGCTCCTCAATTACATAGGTACATGTTGATTTAGATGGCATTTAGAATGCTGCCATGTTCTGCCTAGTGTTACAAATTGAAGCATTCATGCTAGTATGGATTTTCTACTTATTGCTGAAATCTTGCCGGCCTTATATAACCAGTTTTTCTTATGTGTCAAATTTTGCAACCAAATTGTACACTTTTGTCAACTATTAGATGGGACTAGGGAAACTTCAGAAACAGACTTCAGAGAGTAGAAGAGACTAGAGACTTCAGAAATAAGTAGAAAAATTACAACCCTGATCATGTCTCAGAAGGTAGATACATTCCATGCCAGCATTCTTATGCCATTTTCTTATTTTTTTACACAAAAAAATTAAAGAAGGATAATTGGAATGGGTGCAATTGTTCATAATAACAAGTGATTGTCTCTTTCAAGGGTGGCTTCAACCTGAAATTTTAGGCTGAAATTTTCAAAAATTGTAGGTAAAAAAGATGGTTTTAGGGGTGATTTTCAAACATTGCTTGTAAAAATGTGCCATTGTTATTGAATTTTACTTGGGTAAAAGTAAAAACAATTGGTTGATATTTGAAAAGCATGGGTACAAATGTGGCATTTTTTCTCAATGTAATCATATGAATAATGCAAGGGTCACAGTAGCAGATAAAATCATCTCTAAGGATGGGCATTTTTGGATCATTCATGATTGGCTTCTGCTTGATTTTCCAGTTTGATAAAAATGTTAGTAAGGCTTTAGTTCCAGCTCAAAATAGTATTTTCCAATCAAAGCATTTTGATTGGGGCAACTTGCTGAAATGACATTAAAAATTGCCTTTAGGGTTAAAGTCACTGTTAATTTGATTTTAAGGTTCAATTTCCAAAATGTAACCTCAATCGTTGAAGTGATGCTTCAAAATAAATATATAATCTTAATTTTTAAATTAATTAATAATGTTAATCAATGCTGAAAGGTTCTTCATGCTTCACACACTTATTAGCTAATGTGCAAGTCCCAACCTCACCCTACCCCTTAGACTTGAGTCTAGACCTAGGTTGATTGGGGGATGTTATTTTATTGGACTTTATTGGATTTGTATTGTTTTTACTAATAGTACCTTATAAGTTAAGTACCTATGTAATGAATCGTTTCTCTCCCAGATGCTGATAGTGTGAAAATATGCTCACCAAGTTTGAAACCAAGAGTGCAAGGGTGAAAGGCCTATCCTTCCACACCAAAAGACCATGGATATTGGTGAGGTGAGTGTCAAAAATTGGTCAGTCTAATCGTATTTCTTAAGTTAATGCCCAAAAGTTATCATTCTCATCTCCATTGATGTCAGTAGAGTTGAAATTTAAGGGACACAGAGATTTGTGAGTTAATCCATTTACAGTTGTTTCTTTCTCTATATGTATATACCAGGTATGTCTAAGATTATTATTATATAGGCATTTTGTATGATTGATGTTTTGAGGCAATTTGTGTAAACCTGTCCAAATTCATTCTCTCATTTTTTTTTGTGTCGATGCTGTGGGGGAAAAAAGTTAATTTTATTGCATTCGTTTTACTACAATTATTTTTTTTTGCTGATGGTGGAACCTCTTTATTCAAGCTCTCCATAGAGCATTTGTTTTTCCCCCTATGATAAATTTATTTTATTTATTCAATTCAGTAGGTATCTACATATGTTTTGAAGAAAAGAAGTGTAAATTAGGCAGAAGATATATTATAAATTCCCAAATCTGATTCCTGTGATGAACTGTAACTCCAGGATTAATTTTTCTCTACAACATCTATACCTATCTAGAAACAATTTCTTTCAAGTGTCGGCTTAGCAGCTATTTTTGACAACTTTAATTGAACGTTTGTTTAAGGAAGACCTCTAGGTCTTTTTACCATCAAAGAGGGTAAATACATTTTCATTCTTCTAACAAGATATCGTTTTTGGACCAGATGAGTTTATGTCTCAATAACGAAAGCTTTATTTTGGGAATGAAACCTTCAAAAGTTTGTAATTTTTATTGCAAATATTACTCGGAAGCGAACTCAAGCGATCGGAGCGTGATGCATGCAAAATAATTTTACTGTACATTAACAAGGAGAATAAATTGCTCGTCAAGGCTTATTATTGAAATTACATTACACGGTGGCTTTATTCGCTCGCGAGAATGCTTTTTCGATGAGAAATTTCCTCTCGTCTCGTCATGTTAATAGAAATAAGTGCAAATCTAATCGAGCAAAGGATGATAAGTGCGTCATGTATACATTAATGATACCTAGAGTCGAGCAAGGTAAGCTGATGAACTAAAGATGCGCTTATGATGTAATAATATGATGCTCTCGTCTGCTTCTGCGGAGGTCGATCAGCTGTTACGTCTTGCTATGGTGGGGAATCTACGAGCGTTCCTTCGTGATGCCTGGGGATCTGAAGTTTCTTCTGCTGCGGTGGCATCTTGTGCAGCCGCTGGCGTTTCTTCTTCTGTTTCTGCATTTGTTGTTCCTTCTTCTGTTTCTGACTTTGGTGTCCTTGCGTTGTTAAATCGCGACCGGCGCTCAGCCAGCGATAGACGCCCTGCTGGCTTCTGCGATTCTTCTGTCTCAGCAGCTCGCACCTGCGCTGGAGTTTCATCAGCAGCCGAAGCTTCTTGGTTCGCTGCGGTGGTCTTAGTCCTACTTGGTCCTAGCCTCGCGTTCCTTAAGCGATTCAATCCCTTAGCGGGACCAGCAGCAGCTTCCGTTTCACCTGTGCTAGGAGCAGCGGTAGTTTGTCCACCTGCGTTACCATTTCTTGGGGGAAGCGAGAAGCGGGCTCTGAGTTTCTTGTTTCCCGGCGCCGCAGTCGTCCCCGCTTCCGTCTCTTCCGTGCCCTTCTGTGCCTCCTGGTTCTGCTCCTCCTTGACCTCCTTCTTCTCCGGCTCGGGCTCAGCTGCAGATGGCGCCTCCTCCTTTGTGGTGGTTGAAGAAGGGCTACCCGCCGCCACGCCGGGTTGGCTACGCCGTAGGGCCAGACGGTGTGGACTCACCCGTCTGGCGGTCCCGGCGGTGGGTTTGTTCTCTACCGCCTCGTCGGGCTCGACGACGACGGTTGCGTCGTCGGATTGTTGGGGTTTGGCTGGTTGGGGTTCGCGGGTGGGCTGTCGGGAGGGCCGTCGTTTGTCCTCACTGGCTAAGGCGGGCCACAATGCACAGAAAAAGATAATCGTTAGCAGCCTTTCAAGTTGAATTTTCATCGAAAAAAATTCAATCATTTCATTCAAATAGTTATTCAGAACCGCCCGAAGTTTTTCTCTCCATTTCTGTTGTAAAATCGTCGAGTAAATGTTATATGTATCTGAAATTCAGTCTCTTCATGCAGTACCTACCAGACGCGTACCGACCGTAGATGGTACGCTCTGAAGATCGCTTTAAGGCTGAACTCTACAGGCACTAAGTGAAACATTATCTCTCATTCCTAGAATTGCAATTTATGGTATAAAAATCACCCCGTATTCTTATTCGTTTGTCGCCATAGGCGACCCGAACTTACAGTAGTTAATTGACCTGAAACCTCCCTTCTATTATTTATGCATCTCCTTGAATTTGTTGTTATTTTTGTCGTATTCATGGGTGGTTTTAATTATGGGAAATTTTATAGCCATTGATACGCCGTTAGTGTTATCGACTTGTGTCTTGTTACACAGAAGATCGTCACTTATGTACAAAAGCGTATACTGTACGAACGGAAGAAAATTCAGTAAGTGTAGAATTCCTGAGACCTCACCTGTTGTGGTGGTCGTGGTTGTGGGTGTAGAGGTTGTAGTGCTTGTAGAAGTTGTGGTTGTAGAAGTTGGTGTAGAAGGTGTAGCTTCACCGGCAGCCTCTGCATCAGTGGGAGCTTCCTCCGCAGTGGACTTGCCTTCTGGGTCTGTGGGCGTGTGTTTCTTCTCCTGCAACCTGGCCTCGAGCTCTGCCTTCAGACTTGGTTCCTCTTGAAACAAGTCCAGAATCGTAATTTTCTTTACCTCTGGACTTGTAAGCTGGCAGTCCACTGCTGGATGCAGGAGGAACGTCAAGAGAAGCAGCAGGGCGCTGCCGGCACACAACTGGAAATTTGAACAAAATTAATTATTACGTTTCTAGATATTAGAAGATGGACTTGCTATTGAATTGTACCTGTTATCAAATCTCGCGGTTGTCGCATTTTATGCAAATTTATTCAAGAGGTTGTGACATCTTTAATTCCCGATAGTTCTGAAGGTCCAACTGGAATAGGAAAATATAGATGGAACTAAAAGGCGAATGAGGCATATTATTCAATTAGAAAAATATACGAAATGCAACGCAAAGGATCGTTCTGGTGTCCGCTAGTAGCTAGTGTGTAGTAGAGCATATATAAATACCGTACTTTCGATCGCTGAAGCCATTGCATTGCTTTGGTATATGCAATTATTGGTTTGAGGGAATTTATACACATTTCCACAAACTACAGTCGCATTGCACAATTAAATAGGTAAAATGCCTGTTCTGTAGTTAACGGGACTATTTTCAACTTTGAATAAATACTACATACACTTATTCACAGTATTAAAGACAATACTAGTACGTTTTGAAGAAAAATGGCATTTTTTCTCTCGGTGTCAATTTTACCGTCTAATTTGCACTCAGTTGCTTGAGAAACATTCTACATGAAGTACACTGGAACACAAAATATCGCAAAACTACAATTTTTCGCAAATTATTAAGCAACGTCCTTATGGAACGGCTCAATTTTTTCCGTCGCAGAAAAGGTCACGTACAAGCATGGTGTCAGAAACTCTATGTATATAGTATTGTATTTTTTGTCTACCAGAACTGAACGCGCGCGAGTCGTGATCTGTGCCAGCGGTCTTACTGCAGCCTATTGTTTTTACTTGGTCTCCAGGTCCTGCAAACGCGCGCTTATGCAACACAGCACTTGCTGTCATAGCTCGCCTTGCTGCAAGTTGGGGCCTCTGCTTCAATCAAGGGCCCTTGTCTGAATTCAGGACCCTATGCACAATTCGGTCCTTATTGCAAGTGGAAGCCTTTGCTTCAATCGAGGGCCCTTGCTTGAACTCAGGACTCGAGCTCCTGGTCGCAAATTCGCGTCGACAGCTTCATCCTAATGTAAAGGCTAGAATTTTTTCATGTGACTCTGCAGGAATCGCAAATCTTGGAGTTACATTTAACGCATTCCAACCTCATGTGTTTCTTAAATCTGGCTTGGCCCTGATATTTTCACCCTATGCTCAATTCGAGCACCATTCCTCCAGTTGAGGTCATTACACTAATTGGCCCCTTCTTTAGTTTGAGTCCCTCGCCTACAATTGACCCTTTCAATTCGGAATCCTTGCCTCAACTGGTAGCCCTTGACTAAATTGAAAGGCTATTGCCTCCGTTATGAGACCCTCGTTTTTACTATGTTGCTACTCTCGTTACTCCGTAATTTTTTTGGCTTAATCCATTGTTCAACATTGCTATTTTAAAGATAATTTTCTTTATCGTCAATTGCCTTACGCCGCATAAGTTTTTCTCCGCTATTTCCTGCATAATCGTTTTGACGATTATACGTTGCTTCCGCAACCCAGTGAACCACCTTGACATTTTCCACCGAGCTAACCGGTCTCAAGATTGTTCAGAGGACCTACCCTTCTCTCCTAACTTTCGAAAGTAGCTGCATATTGTGGCACTATTGCCGACATCTGAGCGCTCAAGGACTTGCCCTTTTAAACCTTTGCGACCTTTAAACCGTTCCACCATTTAAATCTTTCCGCCTTATAAACTTTTTTGCATTTCAAACCTTTTGCGCCTTATAAATACTTACGCATTTTAAATCTTTCCGCCTTTTAAATATTTCCACTTTTTAAACCTTTCCGCCTTTTAAACCTTTCCGCCTTTTAAACCTTTCCGCTCTTTAAAACCCTTTCCTCTCTCCATTTCTGAGGTGTCCCCTTACTTGAACTTTTTCGCATTTGAAACCTTTTGCGCCTTTTAAACCTCTCCGCCTTTTAAACCTATCCATCCTTTAAATCTCTCCGCCCTTTAAATCTCTCCGCCCTTTAAACCTTTATGCCATTTAAATCTTTCTGCCATTTAAACCTCTCCGCCTTATAAACCTCTCCGCCTTTTAAACCTCTCCGCCTTTTAAACCTCTCCGCCTTTTAAACCTCTCCGCCTTTTAAACCTCTCCGCCTCTTAAACCTCTCCGCCTTTTAAACCTCTCCGCCTTTTAAACCTCTCCGTCTTTTAAATCTCTCCGCCTTTTAAACCTCTCCGCCTTTTAAACCTCTCCGCCTCTTAAACCTCTCCGCCTTTTAAACCTCTCCGCCTTTTAAGCCTCTCCGCCTCTTAAACCTCTCCGCCTCTTAAACCTCTCCGCCTTATAAACCTCTCCGCCTTTTAAACCTCTCCGTCTTTTAAACCTCTCCGCCTTTTAAACCTCTCTGCCTTTTAAACCTTTCCTTTTTTTAAACCTCTCCGCCTTTTAAACCTCCCTGTCATTTAAACTTTTTCGCCTTTTAAATCTTTGCGCTCTTTAAATCCTTTACGCCTTATAAACTTTTGCCGTACGATTAGCCCGGGATAGGAACTTAATGATGCTTGTCCACGTTTGACCTGGCGATTGCGGCATTGCATGTGTAACGTGGCAACGATTTAACTCGGACAATACTATTACTATTATCAATTACATTATACGTATTTGATAAATTATTAATGAAACAATTACGTTTGGTGATTTATCAACTATCAATCAATCTTTCGTTATTTTCTTTCAGTGCAAATTATTTAATTTCATTAATCCCATCTTTTTTCCTTAAGACCTGTATTTTTTGTCTCTTATTGTAAGTGGTATTTGTGTTACAAATTTAGCATTACTTTTTTCATTCTTAAAGCTCGCTCGTGCATTGTTCATTGTTGATTTCATACATAATAAGGTCGCCAAGTGAAATGTCATGACTCCAATGATCCTCGTGACATCGATGGCATTTTGACCTCGTCGTCTCTCTTGCTTACGCGTTCGTCGTGACGGGCGCAATGCAACGTACCTGACAATTCCTTCGTTTTTCTCTATTATTCCTTTTTTGCAAGGTAAATTTTCTTTTGGTTGATTTCTAATGAAAATGTTTAAACAATTTTATCCAAGCGAATAAAATTACCAGCATTGTTGATGATGACTATTTTATCGGCTGGTAGTCTGGTCGATGTTATCTTAATCGAATGTCATTAATTTTTTTTCATTAAATTGTTCGATTATTTGAAGATACTTTCAAGTTTCGTTGTGTTTTTCTCGTATTGGAACGTTTTAGCTCGTCACTTTCACTTGAACGTAACTCGTGCGCGTCTCATCAACTTCCGTATCGCAATGCTTTCTGTTGTTTGTGATAGTAAAGTCGTGTGACTTTGGCCGTGACTCAGTCACCGAACGACTACTGACTGGGATTTGACGACTAATTTCTTGATTTTTACTTCATTTCAGATACTAAATGCTCTTTCGCAGTGCGTGCGTCTATTAGATATTCGAGTGTATTTAAAATAAATATCAATCGAAGTAGGTACTTGAAAAGCCATGCGCAAATAATCGAACTTAAATTATGTAATTGTAAAAAACCTTTTCCGATACCATTCTAAGAAATATTTATCTATTCTTTGGTTCATTATCATAATAAATGTAATTAAGTTATCAGATTCCTCAGAATTTTTCCAATTTTTTTCTGTTATCTCATCGAATCAATTTCACCGAAATGTAATTAAAAAAACTCTGATTTTGATCACTCACCAGTCGAGTCATGGCGAAGCGGGCTGTTAAGTGTACCGTCTCACTTGCCTCTCAGTGCTAGACTGAACTCGTGGCTCGACAATTGCTGGCTTTATATATGTAGTGGGGCTGGCGTGCGAGTCGAGCTTGTACTTTGAGGTCCATATGTCTTAGTGGTTGCCTACCCTTATGTCATTTGGCCTGCATCTCATTCCTTATTAAATCTGCAAACGTAATTAACATTTTGCTCTCTTATTTTTTCTTGTTTTTGGTTCTTAAGTTTAATTAACATTTGCTCAAATTTCAACGATGTTATTAAGAGTATCGTTCCTGAAATCTAGGTCGACATTAAAATAACAGTTTGGTCAATACTGCAAGTTCGTTGCTGGAATATTCACCCATCCCTTATTACATCAGTAATGCAACAGAGCCTTTAGAAGCTACAATTAAGTTCACGGTCTTCACAGTTGACTTGCATTGGCATCACATTAATTAAATTCAAAATTAATCGATGAATGCTTCGTAAAATTGCGTGCTGAAGACCGCGTTTCATTTATCTATTGAAATATCGCCTGCCTAAGCGTGTTTCTTCAACTTATCTCTTCAGATCAATTCACTTTTTTCTTTCTTGGCTTTAAAAAGGGTTCCACCTTGCATGAGAAACATGGCCGCCTTAATTATCTTGGTCCACGCGAACATTATTCACGCTTATACTTTCTCCGTGACTTTAAACCGAACTCGTTTATTGTCACAGAAGTTGTTATTCTGTCGACACCTATTTAATTAAAATGTCTACCTTGTAGCTCAAAAAATGTCATATGAAGTGATGTTCAATATAATCATTTGGCTGTGTAGAACGATAAATGAGTTAGTGCTTCTATATATATTTGCTGCATTCGTGTAGCGGATTAGTTTGAGCTTCAGAACCATGTATTCAGATACCTATAATGCCTGATATAATTAATCAGATCACTGTTATGGTAATGATTAGACATCACTATCACAGTCTCGCGTTATAAGGTTCTCTCTTCTCATGCTGTGCGCTTTAAATACATTATATATTCACTCCCAGGAATGAATGGGTCGTATGGTCCAAATAAGGACCCAATTTCTACACGTGGCACTGAAACGCCATTTGACTGGGTTACGATAGCCCACTCCATAGTGTTAAAAGTGCATCGCTATTTAGGCAAAGTCACACACATTTCTGTGAGTGAATGGAAGCTTGAGGCGATGCAGCTCCACGCATCCAGTTCTATCTGGCTATGTCGGAGCCACGGCTGCCGTGTCCCTTGGTTTCACTTTCGTGACTGAGCGTGCACTCAGAAAAAAGTTTCGTCTTGTCCAAATTGTGACACTTACGGCACGTATCGCTGCTACGCTCTTTTTTCCTGGGAAAAGAGTGGGTCAGGATTGCTGAGCAATAAGTGAATCGTTATTTGCACTTGAATTTTTCTGACTTGGCTGACTGCATTTCTATGTCTCACTAACCTATTATATTTTTAAATAAGTCGTTTTCATTTCTGGATCTGGGGTCGGAAATTGCTTTAGTACACGTAGCGTCCTATGTATACGTAGCGTTGCTGAGTTTAGATTGAAGAGCTGTCAGTGATTGGCTGACGGTGTACGAACTTGTACTATTTTTGATATTACGGCCCGCGATATGGAATTGAATGAATGTATCTTCGAAACACATAATTTTTTATAGTCTGTTCAATTGGTTTTATAGTAACCTAACTCGAGTACAGTCTATAATAAGACATAAATTAACGCATTCGGTAGTCGCGTGGTGATCCGGTGCGACAGGTTTTGGAGGCCATGCTGCGTAGACGAGGTTTAATTAAATGCTGTCGTTGTATAAAAAACTAAAACTTAATTATATTGTAATGTATATATAATGTATCACTATCATTCTCCTTAATCCGCAATTTTCTTTAGTTTAATTTAGTAATGCTACTAATCATAGAACAAATGAAATTATTTTTTGATAAAAAACCGCGAAATGAATCGCATATCCTGCTAAATGTTATTCTGTTACGTTATTGTTAATTTTTGATATCTTTTTTAATGACTGTATTTTATGAAGGCTGTATTCAGTGTAGAATTCGTTAAAAACTCAATTTAAGTCGATCCTTTGCAGGACAATTTTTTATTATTGTCCTGTGAATTTTTCTGTATCGTTATGTAACAATTGTCGACCACCCTAAAAAGTAGGATTTAATGTTGACGTTATTTAATGAGAAGTACCTGATACCGGAGAAATAACTTATAAATTTTGTGTTTCGTAATATATAAAGCCTCGCCCCTCAAGGATCACTCTTTTATCTTCATTGAAGTTCACGTGCAGCTTCCTAAAACAAGAAATTTGTTCGTATGTGGAATTTTCAATGGTGTAAATCTTTGATCTTAATGTTCTCTTTGGAAAAATTATATTCGGGCAAAAAGTGAAAACTACCGTAAGCATAGCTAAAGTTGCTTCTTGTTGCGGCCATGTTGGAAAGCCATTAGCTCGGTGAACAATTATTTCAAAAGCACAGTCATATTTCACGCTGTAGAGTGATGGTGAGACTCAAACATGTTTTGTTTGTGACTTGTTTTGCTCACAACCGAGGACTCCTGCACTCGCGTGAAATGCTAGAAAGGGAAAGTTTTTCCGGCTCTCGAACTTTTGGGTGGTCACGTAAAAGTAATCATGCTATAGCACCTCGGCCGAGACCTTCTCGTCAGGCATATGACGAGATTAATATGCTGATTAATTGAATGATTAATGTTGAATAAACGTTGTTTATACGATATCATCGCGTAATAAACGTTTTAACAAATTAACTCGTGATTAACGTTTTTCCCGACAAAATCAACTCATAATAAACTTTTTTAACAAAATTAACTCGTATTAAACGCTTTAACGAAATCAACTCGTAAAAAAATCAACTCGTAATAAACTTTTGTTCAGCAAAATACAACTCGTATTAATTTATTTTTTATTTTCAACAAAATCAGTTCGTAATAAACGTTTTAACGAAATCAACTCGTAATAAACGTTTCGCAGACATCAACTCGCGCAATAAAAGAGAGTAGTTAGTGTTCGAGTGGGCCGTGGGTATGAAACGTGTCTGAATTCGTATGCGGGTTACAAGAAATGTTTCGTTTTCGTGTTAAAGTAGTGAATATCAATCTCATTGATATGGGGGGTTCTACTATTACTTCTAAGGGATTATGAATTCAATTGTTCGAACAAAAACATGAGAGGTTAAAAACGGAAAAACTCGTATTTTTTCGATTACGGCATACATATAAACACAGAAAAATATATTTTTTTCTTATACGAGATAACATAAATTAGTTTCCAACACTGAATGGTTTTAATTTGTAAAATCCATTTTACTTCTGGAGGCAAGATTTTATTCCCATTGTATATATTGCTTTGTAATTAACGGCCATGCTTGCAGCGTTAGATCTGATGAAAATTTATCAAACTTTATTGCACGACTTATGCCGTCGAGCAAACTATTGTTGTTTTTCACTTTTTTTATTGCTTGCAACTGCACACTTATTTCTTTCAATGCTTGCAACTACTTGCTCATTATTTCATTGCTTGCTAATATGTCCTTTTTCTTTCATTGCTTGCAATTTCACAATTTATTTAATTCTAGGCACTGTACACTCATTTCCTTCATTCCTTGGCACTGCACATTCATTTCATTGCTTGTCACTACTCACTTATTTCTTTCATTGTTCTCTGGTTGATATTTGTGCTACGTAACCTTGATCTCAACACTACCGGCTATTGTAGGCTGCATGGCAACTTTTGTTCAGACTTCGGCTCCTATCACACTCTCAGTTGTGACTGAGTCAGTCATGTTCGTCAGAACAGTTAATCCTTTCATTTTATTCGATTTCCTTACTCTCCATTATCATATTTTTGGTGAGAATCTTGCTCGCTGTGTTTTTCGTATGGTATCTCGACTTATTCCCACTGAAGAATGCAGCTTTTTCTTTATAGTACTCAGACAACAAACGTGAATGAGCTTACCATCCACAATCCACATTGTACCAGTTCGCTCATACTATTTTCATTTATCATCTCTTGATCCTGAATCCAGTTACTATTGCATTTACCGTATTTGGTATACCTCGAAAAAATTTGCTCTTACCTTATTATGTGTACATAAAAAAAATTATATCTCCTTAACTGTACAACAAACCTAAGTAGCATACTTGAATTTGAAATTCCAATTAAAACTTATATGTGGAATTTATAACGCACCGAATCAAGTGTGAAGAGATGAGCATTAAAATAACAATGAATTAAATTTATCTCTAAGCTTACATGACACTCTTGCAAATTGTAAATTGGGGCTTCTTTATTTCCACTAAAATACCTGCTGATCTGTTTTGACCAATGGAATTCTCTATTGTTAACTCCGTGAATGATATCTTAAGAGTCTTTTACGATCGACCATGCACACATTGAACGAACTCCACCAAGCGTTGTTTAACGTGAATGCTAAAAGTCAAGCATTTGTCTCTTTATCATCGGGCAACCGCCGGCTTACAGAAACCTTGCTATTCTCAAGGCCTTCGCTGCCTACGGCTATCTACTTCAATTTATGAGAACAGCTTTTTAAAACTCCTCGCTCATGTGTCGCTAAGGACTGTTATGTGACGCCTTCACTCATAGAAATGAGTAAGATTTGTCCAAATAGCGATGCACTTCTTGCCCTTGTTTGGCCTTGTTTAGCCCGGCAAAATGAAGTATCAGTGCTACGTGAAGAAAGTGTGTCACTATTTGAACAAGATGACCAATTCATTTTTCTGAGTTTCTTAGAATAGGTACGTTTTTAATCTTACCTTCATGAGCGCGTGCTTCGAAACTAAACATTTCCTGGAAGAATATTACCTTTCCTCTTAGCCTGAGCACAGTGCCTGTGATGTATTTCGTAGAATTTCACTCAAGCTTCACCTTCATGGATTCAATGTATTAAGGTATCAGATTCATTCAAGATGACCTTTCACGCGAGTGTTCTTGTAATGCCGCGCGCAATCAGCCGAACTGTTGTTCGCTTGCACTTTCCTTTTCTTGCGAAGGTCAAAGAGGCTGCAGCTGTAATTTTTGCACAGCTTATACCTGCTGCCCAATCGCTGCGTGACCCTGACAGCCCTTATGCGTCTGCTCAGCGAACGCATTCAATAATTGCGACTATAAGAAGACGGCAGACGTAACCTCGGGGCATAATCCTGAGTACATGAAAACATTTAAACCGTCGTTAGCCCGCGCCCGCAGTTCTAAATTTCACTCGCCGGGCGTGGAACAAATATTTTTAATCATTGGTGAACGTATCACTAAGAAAAATTAATTATTGTCCATATAGTAACACACTTTCTCACCCACAGCAGCGAATGTAGCACCGATGTATCCGTTTGCCGGAACAAACTGGGTCAGAATGACCCGTTGCATGAGCGAAAAGTAGATCAATATTTCGACAAAGCCTCGCTCATTTCTCCTACTGTACGTACGATCCTTATTGTTCAACTAAGAAAGAGCGTAGAGAACCGTGTAATTGATATTGTATCAATGATTTTGATCAGTTATGTATGAGTATATCTGTAGTAAATTATTATTTTGTCTCGAAGTAGTTCGGCTAGCTTATATTGAAAATAAAATTTCCCGCAACTTCACTCGTTCTATGCTGCCTTTTTTTGCCCCGAAAAATAAGTCAATGTCTGGTTTGGCAACAGTTCCACAAATGCGACAATTATAAAAAAGCGGTTATTCGAGACTGCAATTTTTTAAGCAGCAAATGTGCAGTGCGTCCAGTGCTTCTGTGTGACAGTTCACTGATAACAGCACTGCACGCAAGGCCAATCATTCGCTCTTTTTACTTATACTTGTTTGCTTATATTATACATCATATGTAGTTATCTATTATGTCCTATGTATTTATTCACTCTGTTACCGTCGTAGATGTTGTGGATGCTTGTTCAATCGTTGTGCACACTCGTGTCCAAAAAGTTAACAATCGAGTTCCATTCATCGAATTTCTCGTCAATTTAATGTTATTGTAATTATTTATCCCGTATTTAGATTTATCGTAGACTGATTATATTTGCAAAGAGTCTAATTGGCGTTCGAAATATATTTTCTTTAAATGCATGAAGATCTCTTTCTATATAAATAAATGTCTGCTGTTTATTTCGTTCGGCTAAAATTAGGAATTTTTCTTGTACATCACTTTTCCAAACACACCCAAGCCTAATTTTTCTGCCATTCATAATTCGCATTTTGTTGCTCGTGTTCTGGGTCCATGCTTTGAAAACTCGCTAAGTGAACGTAAAAACTTACGCTCTATTTTCTTGTCTATGATTGGTGGATTTGGCTTGAAAGGCCGTCAATGATTGGCTGATGAACTTACGATCTCTTAACTTTTTTGGAAAGTATAGGCCCTGGTGCGCTGTAAACTGCATCATGGTTTGCCTCTGGGCGTGCATGAGGTGATGGTAAACTGGTTCTGCTCGTGCTGCGCTATAATGCTGTCAGGTTCTGCTACCAGCCATTGTATAGCCTCTGCTGCGCTATAATGCTGTCAAGTTCTGCTACCAGCCATTGTATAGCCATTGTATAGCCTCTGCTGCGCTATAATGCTGCCAGGTTCTGCTACCAGCCATTGTATAGCCTCTGCTGCGCTATAATGCTGCCAGGTTCTGCTACCGGCCATTGTATAGCCTCTGCTGCGCTATAATGCTGACAGGTTCCTACCCATACCAGAGCACAACTGTATCGCTATTTAGACATTTCTAGACATTTAGACATTTCTTATTTATTTATTTTCTGTTTTGAAACCTGACAGTGCATTTTACTTTACTAATTGATTTAATTGTGTTTCTAGGACTGAATTTTTTCTGAACAGAATTTAGTGTTATGAACTGACGATGGAGCTGGACTCCGAAACGTTTTCTCTTATAAAGATATGGTGAATTTTTGTGGTATTTTCTTTGCTTTTAAATTCCTATCTAGACAAAGTTTTGCTCATTTCTCAGTCTCGTGGTTCAGTGTAGGACTGACCGGCGTGGTACTCATTGCATGTGGCGGTCGAAGACCTTGGGCGAGAGCGAGAGTATGAATTTCTCTCTTCATATAGACGCCGCTTCATTCTGTAGCCAATGACATTTTCTTTTTAGCGCATTTTCCCATTTATGGAAAAAATGCACTATTGTGCTCGTCATGTCCGTCTGTCTGTCCGTTCGTCTGTACGTCCGTCCGTCCGTCCGTGACCTCATGATTTCGTCGACGAGAAAATGCGCTCTCTGTCACTCACTGCAGTGAGTACTGAGTTAATCAGAGTTATATTTTTATTATTCATAACTGAGACAAATTAGGAAATGTGCGAGACTTTGTTCTAATAGCGATGCACATTTTGCTCTTTTCGGACAATATAATGACCCATTTTTGGGTGCTACCCGAATATATTCAGCTTTTCAAGGGAGAAATATTTTCGTTAGTGAGGATTGACAGTTATCAGCGATGATGCATATATAGGTGCAGTACGTTCGGATAAGATTGAGCGTGCTTGTCGAAAGAAGGTAAATTTCCAAGGTTCGCACTTGTCTTTTAGCTGTTTTCCAGAAGCAAGTCAGCAATTAGTTATATGAAATATTTGTTCTTATTTCGCACTCAAAGAAATAAGTGAGATTTTGTACAATGAGCGATGCCCTTATTGCGCTTGCGTGGGTCATCCTGACTAAGTTTGGCCCGGCGAAAGGGCGTATCAGTGCTACGTCTGCTCTGTGCTCGTGCTGGGGATGAAAAAGTATGTCCTTATTTGTACAATATCACTCATTAATTTTCCTGTGAACGGTTGTAGATTATCCTGATGGTTGGATCAGTGTCTCATTTCTATAACTATAAAACTGCCTAATCTTTCAATTATAAATCAATTCATAGGTAAGATGTGCATACATTTTTGGTTTGAATAATATTCAGGATTTGAAAGCTGTATCTGGCTTTTGGATGACTTTATTTAACTTTACCTTTGGACTTCCGTCTTTTGCCCTCAAAAAACGCTTTGGCCAGCTCATTTAAATATTAAATTATTATTTATGACCCCCACCACTCAACTCACTGTTAACCCATGCCACTCTAGACTAAACTCTTCTTTTCAATTGTGTTATGATACCTACTTGCCGTGTTGTCCATTATTTATTTGTTTACTGTTTGCACAGCGGAGTTATGCACAGCATTTACCCCTCTCTCCTGTACCACAGCCTGCACAGCGAAGTGATCCACTGCATTTACCCCCTCTCTCCTGTACCACAGCCTGCACAGCGGAGTGATCCACTGCATTTACCCCCTCTCTCCTGTACCACAGCCTGCACAGCGGGGTGATCCACTGCATTTACCCCCTCTCTCCTGTACCACAGCACTACATTAATCTCTCCTGTACCACAGCCTGCACAGCGGGGTGATCCAGCTATGGGACTACCGCATGTGTACGCTGGTGGACAAGTTTGATGACCACGAGGGGCCCGTGAGGTCCGTGTGTTTCCACGAGCAACAGCCGCTCTTCGTGTCGGGCGGCGACGACTACAAGATCAAGGTACTCGAACCTATATGAATTTTATATCAATCAGGCAAATTGCTGTACTCTTAAATAGCACATTTATTGATTTATTGAGTGATTCGATGACTTATGCGCATGGAAGCAATCCTCTAGGGAAATGACGTTGAAACAAAATTTAATCGACCTAATTTCAGCGTTGATGAGCTTAGACTGTACTAAAAGTACTGCACTTGATCTATACTCAAAAGTACGACCTGTAACGGTGTATTATTCACAGGTCTGGAACTACAAGTTGCGCCGTTGTCTCTTCACCCTCTTGGGTCACCTGGACTACATCCGCACCGTGGAGTTCCACCAGGTTCGTATGTAGCGTTTATATTTTAAAAATGGTGTACATTTACAATGTAAGAATTCTTTACTAATTACCCCAGTGTTAATTTACTCACGGCGTTCAGGTATTGAATAGCAAGCTACTAATAATTCAGTTTAAATTCGTATTTCACCAAATATATTGCTATTCATGTTCTTTTAACATTGTTTCTTATTGAAAACCTTTGTTTTAACTATTTTTTTTTTCTCTTAAACTTTACTCTCCGTCACGTTCTTTAACTTAAATTTTTAATTCGTTCTACGTGTTTAACTCTAAATTTGAACACTTCATCTAAATTCCCTGATTGCTAACCTAACGACGTCTATCACTTCTTAACCATTTTGCATTATTTGTATCATTGAGAAACGATGTGGTGGCAAAATAAAATCTGTTTCAAGTGCTTGTGACTCCTGAAAATTAGAAAATTAAATCTATTGTAAACTGTTGCAATTTCCTGGAGTTAGGGAAACTTGTTGTTGCTAAAGGATATTGTTATGACATCCTTCGAAATGAGGGATATTTGAAAACTATTTCAGCGCCACCTGGTGTATGTTAGAGGATTAAAATTTTATATATATAACAATTTATAGTATTTGTCTTCACTATTCGTTTCATAGCCTAATTAAAATAGCTTTGGGTTCATTTTCAATTTTTTTTTGTACCACTTAATCCTGAATATGAAATTTTATTCGCCTTACACATGGCGTTCGACTCAACTTGAATTATGATTACTTTCATATAAGATTACTGAAATATAAATAATTTCCCATGAGTTGACACACGATAACCTAAATACCTACAACAATACCACACAAACACTGCAGGAGTATCCATGGATCCTGTCAGCCAGCGACGACCAGACCATCAGGCTGTGGAACTGGCAGTCCCGGCAGTGCGTTAGCATCCTGACGGGCCACAACCATTACGTTATGTGCGCACGCTTCCATCCTACGCAGGACCTCATCGTGTCTGCCTCCCTCGACTCCAGCGTCCGAGTCTGGGACATTTCTGGTGGGTTTTGTCGGTGATGATACACTCACAGAAATGAGTGGAGCTTTTCTTCAAGTAGCGATACAGCTTTTCGCTTTTTTATGGGTCATCCTGACGCAGTTTGGTAAGTTGCTGTGACTGGTCTATTAGCTACACATAGTGTCTGGTAGGTATACTTTCATTTTAGTTAATGACTTGTGGGTTTTTCTTATAGTGAATTTAGATCTAATTGCTCCAGTTACATGGGACTCTATCTGCACTTCGATTAATGGGTATTGATATAAGTCTTCCCTTTAGTCACTTGATTATTATTAAACTACGGAACTGAAGAGTAACAGAGGTCGACGTATTTGTTGTTACTTTAGGTATGACCTCGTGGGTTCACCGTTACTACAATTATTAGCTCACAGCTCAGCCTCTGCAGTTGCTGGCTCGGGAACTAGTTAATCGAACAATTGCATATTCGATACCGTAATAGTGGTACAAATATATTCCTCTCAACCATTCTTATTATAATTCTCGTAAGTCCATCACTGTTTCTTAGTGATTTTCGTCCTCGATTGATTTTGACGCATTTTGGTTTGACATTGTCGAGGCTTTCTTACGTTTCTGCGTCACGGCCTTGATAGCCAGTAAACATTTATTTAAACATTTATCATCTCTGTTAACTGTAGTGACATTTATGTGTGTCGGCACTTGAGTGACCTGCGTCCCAAAAAAGCTTTATGTGCTTTGCTGGCATGCATGCACGACTGATAAAACAGTTATGTTTGAGCTGTGTACAATGGAAGGCTTTCCTTTTTCAATGCGGTGCGTTGATTATGATGATAAAATTTGACAATTTAACGATTGCTGCCACGAGATTCTGTTCATCTGGCTTAATGCTCATACTATTTTTCATCTTTTTGCTATAATAACTTGTCTATTAGTAATTGTATTATTAATATTGAGTCCTAGTATAATTTTTTTTTCTATCAGTATACAGTGTTATTTTATGTTTCTGATTGAATCCGAAGCTTTCTGAGTCTGTTTCACTTATATTTTATTTTGTACTTATTAATTTGATTTATTAATCATAAATATTTCGTTAGTATAGCGTTTGGCTCGCGATTTAACTTAATGTATTTTTTGGCGCCTTTGCATTTTAAATGTGTGGTTTTAAATCATGGCTATTGTGAGCCAAGTGAATGAACCTCTTGTGTTTTTTGTGGTCAAATTTCAGCGTTTTGCATCCGAAACTAGAAGGCTGCCCAACATGATGGCTGAGAAGTTTCTCTCCTTCTTATTGCGCACTCCTCTTCCGAAACATTTAGCGGATGGCAGCTGAATATATAGTTTCCTAACCTGAAAAAGGGACAATATTCATAAAAGTGGTGCTGCCCTATATTGAGTGTTGCTAGTCTTGGAGCCTTACTTTCAAAATAGTTGAAATTCCGTCACTCTGTAAAGTAATGGCTGACGGCTTTTCGAGCTAAACTCAGCAAGGACTGATGAGAACTCGGCCGCTTCGTATACTTCAGCGAGTTACGATAGTACTGCCCTCGGTTGTGTTAAGTACAATTAGTAACATGAAGTACCATCCTCGCATTTCTTTGGCTCCGCTGCGGAGAAAATAAAGTCGCAATTTAAACACTGTTATTGCAATATAATTGTGGCTTGCATTAAGCATTTGCTGCGCTATGTTTCTATGCTGCGCGCTATCTATACCAACGAACACTGTTAGTGACGACTCATATTTACACGAATCGAATTATCCTGCTGTTGAGAACCCGCTATGCTCATGGATGGGTTTATTTCAAACAAGAAATAAAGCTGTTTAATGTGCAAAGAGCAGCTATCTGAACAAGTATTAAGCTGGTATGTCAAAAATAGTTGCTGTTACATCGGAGAACTGAAACTCCCTCGATATTCTGGGACGGTGATGGTAACTAACTGGTATATCAACGAAAGCTGTGATTAATAACCCCTGTGATTTACAATAAACATAATTGTGTCTACCACGAACGTAGAAAACGAGTACCCAAAACAGAGGCCGTACTATAACAAACGTTTAGAATTTGTAACGCTATAAGCCAATCACATAACGGCATTTCAAGCTGAACCCACCAATCACAGTCGAGAAATCTGCTACCCTATATTCGTGTACTTAAGATTGGGTATTGTCGCCGTTGCTGTACTTAAGATGCTAGCTGTACTTGAAATGCTAGCTGTACCTAAGATGCTAACTGTACTTAAGCGAGTTATAGCAATAAGTACGGCCCAGAACAGTGTCCCCTCTATGCCCAGGTATCGTGACAACAGCTGGGCTTGGGGGCAGCAATTCTCAGGAGGGTGAGTGTCGCTCTTCATATTTTGACCATCACAAGATATTCAGCAATTCTATCGTTAACTTATTATTTAGTGAATGTAAAGGATTGTCGCCGTTGCGTCGGGCAACTTCTTACGGTTTCCCAGGCTTTGTCTGTCGCTGCTTGCTTCTGCTGGCAATAACAAACGGTGCTAATTTCTGATCGCCTACGTACAGTTCAAGGGTATTGGCCATTTTTTTGCAGCGACTTAGGGACGAATGGTTACGGCTCATCTCTTCTGCCTTTGACTTCTAACCGTTACAAAAAAAATTAAAGGCTATTTCTGCAGCTAGAACAATCTGATACTGGAAGTTTGAGGCTTGTTCTTGGTGCTTGCTACTACTAAAAGGTTTATTTGATCAATTTCTTGACGAACTTGCATTGGATCGGTTCTGATAGTCAGGCAAACCCCTGAAAAGCCTGTTATTCTCAAAGTTCTATTATTTTATAAATGAAATATTCGAAAAAGACCAACTAACTCCTATATGCGTGTATAAATGTTTCAATTCAATTTTCAATTTCAATTTTATTTTCAGTTAAAAGCTAAGCTTCACATTTCCAACGCTTGGTAATATTTCAATCAGTGCCTGTTCATTTAAGGGTAGCTTGCTTTCATTGTCTATTTTTTGAAATTTTCTTAATTGGAGCTAATAAGGATTATCTTTCGTTATGGTATTCTTTCCATTTTTCTAACCTTGCTTTAAATTTTTTAATATTTTCTAAGCTTGCTATGCTTAACTTCTCATCAGTAACGCTTGTGTTATTTATTGAACCTTGCTCGACAGGTATTAATTTTGTTCAGATTTCACGAACGGGGAATTTGTTTTATACTATAAGTGATTTTTATCTTTATTTTGAAATTTTCAAGGTTTTGTCGAAATTTTCCGTTATTCTAATATTTCAACGACTCTTATAAACAGTGTTCTTTTTGCAGAATAACGACTTTTATGAAAGAACTCATTTTACGATAATTATTTATTGATCTCTTTTATTTTTATTTTTGGATTGTTCTTTTACTGCAGATTTGACTGCATGCTACTCACATGTATTTCAACTGCAGTTCATATGTATATACTTTGCTAAAGTATCAAATGAGAATACCTATTATCGTAGCGTGCTGCCCTAATGCAGCATTATTATAATATTGGACACTGAACTTAGTTCTATACACACATATTCCTGCTATAAGATTGAAAGCGAGATGAGACGCTCAGAAAAATTAATTAGACTTGGTCCAAATAACAATGCTATTTTTGCCGTAGAGAGGGTCCAGTTTGGTCGGCAAAAAGGCGTATCATTGCTACGCACGGAAAGCGTGTCATCATTTGCACAACATGACCCATTAATTCTTCTGAGTGAATGCTTTCTACATGTATATATGTCATTGTCGGTGCAAGTGGCCAGCAATTCAATAGGTCCAATTTCTTTCATGAAGCTCCTGTATTATCTAAAAAATATAACTCAGTACTCACTGCAGTGAGTGACAGAGAGCGCATTTTCTCATCGACGAAAACGTGAGGTCACGGACGGACGGACAGACGGACATGGCGAGCACAATAGTGCATTTTCCATAAATGAGAAAATGCGCTAAAAAGTAATCTTCCAAACTTGGGATTTAGCGCAGTTTTCACGAAGCTTCCATCTCTTGAGTCCGGATGTTGCTCTCTCTTTAATCTCCTATTACCATCTTTAATATGTTTCATATGACATCTTCTCTGAGGAATCTCCACTGTATGCATTTGAAAAAATCTCAGTCTCATAGCATGTTTACTTGGTTCCATTGGGTTATGATTTTTTTTCATTTGGTATACTGTAATGATATTCTTAAAATGGATATTACAATGACTGGAAATTATTTGAAATTTTTCATTATTATGGCCTTGTTTCTTTACAAAGACGTTTTTTTATGTGACTCCGCACGATTTTTTCTTCTGAACCGCATCACTTATGAGTGGCTAAATTTATACTGTATGCACCGAAATTATTGCAGCAATGCATGCCGAACCGTGACAATTTATCTGTTTTCGTGACAAGGTAACAACGGTAGGTTAACCCATGACATTACCCATATGGTAGGTCTATTCATACCGCATAATAACCAGCGAGATATTTTTTTCTTATGACGATAACTTTAGTTATCAATTTATCCGCCATGATATCCAGGGTAAATTTATTTCCCTATCACAATAACTAAGGTAATGTATTCTTTATCACGATAATCAGGCTAAATATTTCAACCTAACCGCTTTCAGAACAAGCCAAAAAATTGACTTTTTTTACTTATCATCGTTCAAAACAAGCCAAGAAGTTGACTTTTTTAACTTACCCATGTTCATTACAAGGCAGAAAAGTTTATTTTTCTCCACTTATCCACGTTCAGTACAAGCCAAAAAAGTTGACAAGTCTCACTAGACGCGTTCAAAAGTTGACTAGTCTGACTGGACGCGTTCAAAAGTTGACAAGTGTCACTGGACGCGCAGGTCTACGCAGCAAGAACGTAGCCCCTGGTCTGGGTTCCTCTCTCCTCGACGAGCACCCCAGTCTCCCGCACCAGTTCAGCGGGCGTGGTGGTGGTGGTGGTAGCCACAGTCGCACCACCCCGGAGCTCTTCAGCAGCGGTGACGCGGTGGTCAAACATGTGCTCGAGGGGCATGACAGGGGTGTTAACTGGGCAGCATTCCACCCAACCCTGCCGCTCCTGCTCTCCGGCAGTGATGACCGCCTCGTTAAACTCTGGAGGATGAGTGAGACGAAGGTGATGAACATATTTTTATATGTCAAACTCTGGAGGATGAGTGAGACGAAGGTAATGAACATATTTTTATATGTCAAACTCTGGAGGATGAGTGAGACAAAGGTAATGAACATATTTTTATATGTCAAACTCTGGAGGATGAGTGAGACGAAGGTAATGAATATTTATATCTTATTTAAAGGGCATAAGTTGTGCAATCTGGGGCTCAAGATTTGTGTAATTATAGAAACATTTAAATCTTATTGCTTTGAGGTAATGAACATATTTTTATATAGTGTTTAAAGGGCACAAGTTGTTCAATCTGGGACTCGAGATTTGTGTAATTATTGAAACATTTAAATCTTATTGCTGTAAGATGGAGTAAATAGTTACATATCCTGTTGATGAACGTTTAAAATTTAAAATGAAAGGGTACTTGGGAATGTAAAAGTAAGACGATATTGCGAAATTAACCGTTGAAATCAAAGAGAAGCCCGTTATGCACTAAGAAGAAATATTATTTTGACTCTTTAAAGTAACTTAGTGCAAGTTATGTTTGTTGCTTCAGCAGACCGCTCTTGGTAATGCATTTTAAACTAAATTACGAAAATAATGCCGGATAATATATAATAATGTCTCTTCGAAGAGTTATGCGCCAGCAATGTATTTTTTTTATCTTGCACGAACCGTAACGAATAATATAGTGTAAGACGTGCGTTATGCACGCACCTTAACTCCTGACGATGAACCTGGTGTAAGACGTGTGTTATACACGCACCTTAACTCCTGACGATGAACCTGGTGTAAGACGTGTGTGTCTCGTCACAGGCGTGGGAGGTTGACACGTGTCGTGGTCACTACAACAACGTCTCTTGTGTGATGTTCCACCCTCGTCAGGAGCTTATCCTCTCCAACGGGTCAGTTATTATAATATTAACATTAACAGGTCTTTATATACCAGTGCCAATATCATTAGTCTGTTTTAAATCGCAAGTTCGCTAAAAATTTAAAAGCAAAGATATATTCACCATATCCTCAATGATAGCGTATGTTTTTATTGCTTTCTTTGTTTTCACACCAGTTATTACGTGACTTTGATGATTATTCATATACCAGATATTATAGCCAGTCCCTTTGATTATTATTGATCTGATGTTAGGTTTCCTTAACATTGATAAATGAACGCTTGATTTGGTTCGGGTTTTCACTACACATTACTGGCATTTTTTTAGGTTTCTGATTACATTTCTTCAGTCGATAACTTAATTATAGATGAACTATCTGATAACATTTATTTAGTTGATAATTAAATTAAGGATGAAAGATGGTTGACCTCGTTACATCCACCAGAGAGGACAAGAGCATCCGCGTGTGGGACCTGGCCAAGCGCGTGTGTCTCCACACCTTCAGGAGAGACGATGACAGGTCACGATTTGTCTTTTAAATTGTCATATTTTTCAATTTGTATTAATTTAAGTTTGTGGTACTGTAATTGACCTGAAGCCTTCAGCCGTTGCCAAGCTGCATGGGTACAATGGTACCTTAAATCGGTACGATTTCCGTGATGTAAAATTATGCAGTCCGAGTAGGGTTACATATTTTCTCAGGAGAGACGATGACAGGTCACGATTTGTTTGTATAATTGTCAACTTTTTCAATTTTTATTCATTTCCAACTTTTTGATTTGTAATAGTTATTAAATTGGTTAATTTAATTTACCATAAGTCTTAAGCCCTTGCCACACTGCATGGTGCAACTGTACATAAAATCGGTACGATTACAACGCTGTAAAACTATACTGTCCAGTCCGACAAGGGTTATATTTTGTAAAAGTGTATATACTCTACATTTCTCTTTTGAAGAGTATGTCAGCTCAGCATTTCATCATTTACTGAATCTATGAATGTGTTCTGCTTATTCCGAGTCAATTTTTTTAGCTTTATGTGGTAATTTAATCACGAAACTTGTCATCCACACATTGTTTACCTATACCAAATTTGTAGGCTTAAATGTTTATTTTCATTAGATTTCCATCTATTCGTATTATGCTTTTCCTCACAAATATAAATAGATTTTTCGTCAGATTACACTTTATACGACCATGATTTCTGTGTACGGAGTTCTTAACCCCTTTGTAAATTGACGATAACTCTCATGATCAATAATCCTGATTCGAACAGCGTTAGAAGCGGTTATAGCGATGTAGCGTTTAAAGCATTGCAATGGTTATTTCGCCATGAGAGGTGTTATTATAGTGGAAACGCATGATTCGTTTGAGTGCTGTTATTTCAGTCACTGATTTATATCACAAGTTTCCCGTATTTCGATGCCCCAGGGGTACTCGAGATGATAACGAGGGACTTCTTACCCATCTATGTTTCAAGTTCTACAATATCGATGTTTTTCAAGTACACAAGCTATTTTTGCTTTTAGGTTAACCAATTTGTGTTTCAATTTCCACAATGTCCCTTTTTAGCGCATTTTCTCATTTATGGAAGAAATGCACTATTGTGCTCGCCATGTCCGTCCGTCTGTCTGTCCGTCCGTCTGTCTGACCTCAAGTTTACGTCGACGAGAAAATGCGCTCTCTGCCACTCACTGCAGTGAGTACTGAGTTATTTTTTTCAAGTACACAGGTTAGGTTGAATTTAAGGTTTATAATCATAATTATTGACTTATTCGTCAGGTTTTGGGTGATGGCCGCCCACCCCACGCTGAACCTGTTCGCCGCAGGGCACGACAGCGGCATGATGGTCTTCAAGCTCGAGCGAGAGCGTCCTGCCTACGCCCTCAACGGCAACCTTCTCTACTACGTCAAGGAGAGGTGCTTACTACCACTGTTGATCTATCTATTGTTTGATGCATCTATTACTTCTTATTTGATGCAGCTAGTATTTATTATTTGATGCTATTATTATTTATTAGCTGATGCAACTGTTATTTCCTATTTGATGCACTTATTAGTTCTTATTTGATACATATATTACTTCTTAATTGATTGATGCAGCTATAATTTATTACATGATGCATCAACTATTATTTATTAGTTGATGCATTTATTGTTATTTGATGCATCTACTAGTATTCGATGACTCTTTTCTTCCTAAGCAGAAATTGAGCTTCTAAAGTAATGCTACTCCTAAACTAATATTTTAAGTTTCTACAAATTCTTTACTATCTCTAACGCCAGTTAAATTCTCCTTGGCGTTGTGTCAACTACCAATTTCTTATCATTAACTACCGAAATATACCGCGTTGATATTGATAATTTTGATGTGCTGGTCAGGTTTCTGCGTCGGCTTGACCTGACCAAGAACAAGGATGTGGCCATAATGCAGCTCAGGACCACAGGACGCATGACTCCTCCGTACTCCTTGGCTTACAATCCTGCGGAGAACAGCGTGCTAGTCACCACCCGCAACACCAACACTGACAACTCCTGCTATGATCTCTACCAGGTCCAGTCACCAGTGTCATCTTAGAGTGAAGATAATTACCTGTGTTTAGTGATATTAGTGTTTAGATATTTACCTTTGTTTAGTGGTTTTATAGTGTATATATTTGCCTGTGTTTAGTGGTTTTATAGTGTAGATATTTGCCTGTGTTTAGTGATCTTATCGTGCATATATTTACATGTGTTTGGTGAATTGCTTTCTTATAGTGTATTACCCGGCGTTTAATGAGATCATAATATGTCTACCTACGTAATGTGTATTATATACATAATGTCTTTATGATAATTCTTGACTGTGATTAACTCTATTTTCTTTTTTCAATTCCGTCCAGACTTATTTTGATCTGTATTAATTATTTTGAGTTCGCTTCTGATTTTCTCTGGTTTAATAATTCTGTCTTATAATATCCTTCGCTTATATAATGAACACTAACGTGAACATATAGCAAATTAATTCCAGCATCTCTCTGATAATCCCTGCTATGATCAGTACCGTTTCAATTGAATTTTTTGCATCTTGAATATTCTCAAGTTTAAGCTAATTATTAGTATTAGTGCTGTATTTCGGTGCATAGTTTCCTAATTTTTGTCACAACACTCGGTGACCCAATTTGAATTTTTTATATCTTGAATATTCTCAAGTTTTAGCTAGCTATCAGTATGAATATTAGTATAAGTTGGCAAAATTTGTTCTTTTAAGCAGGTTTCATTGAAGATCAGAGCATTCGTTTTATTGATGATTTTCTTATTAATTTTTTTCTTTAGTTCGAACAAAATTTTTCGTTTGCACGGGTAAATCGAAAATCAGATTACCGAAGTACATATTTGACTACATCTCGACTCATCTACAATCTACATCATACAGTGAGCCCGATGTTGTCCATTTATCAGTACGAGTCGAGTATTTCAGAGCATAGTTTCCTAATTTTTGTCACAACACTCCGTGACCCAAATTGAATTTTTTATATCTAGAATATTCTCAAGTTTTAGCTAGTTATTATTATTAATCGAGTATTTCAGTGCATAGTTTCCTAATTTTCTTGCCGCATGTTTGACCAGGTACCAAAGGAAGAGTCTGCTGGAGAAACCACAACTCCCACGGAAGCCGCGGAATCTAAACGCGCTGGAGGCTTCACCGCCGTGTGGGTGGCGAGGAACCGGTTTGCTGTCATGGACAAACATCACCAGGTGTGTGTTACTTAAGGGATTATAAATGTCTATCTATAATATAGATATTAATATCTATAACTAAACAACTATCTATAGATAATACTATAGATATATATCTGAAGCGCTAGTAAAACTGAAGAATAGCTAGAAAGACATAATTTAATTTCATTCAACCAACGAACGCGCTTTATTTCGCAGGTGACCATCAAAAATCTCCAGAATGAAATAACGAAGAAGGTGGCAATTCCGTCTAACGTAGACGAAATCTACTACGCCGGCACCGGCATGCTGCTGCTCCGTGACCCCGAGAACATGTCCATGTTCGACATCCAGCAGAAACGTATCATGGGCACAGCGCGGGTAGCCAAATGTCGCTACGTCGTTTGGAACAACAACCTCAGCATTGCCGCGATGCTCTGCAAGCATAACATTACCATCCTTAACCGTAAGATGGAACGTCTCTGTTCATTTACAGAAACAAGTCGTGTCAAGTCCGGAGCTTGGGACGACAGTGGGGTTTTCATCTACACGACCAGCAATCACATTAAGTATGCCCTCACAAATGGCGATACGGGCATCATCCGGACCCTGGACCTTCCCGTGTACATCACACGTGTTCAGGGTACCTCCGTATACTGCTTGGACCGTGAGCCTAGCCCCCGTGTGATGACCATCGATCCCACCGAGTACAAATTCAAGTTGGCCTTGGTGCAACGCAAGTACGATGAAGTACTGCAGATGGTACGAGGAGCTAAGCTCGTTGGTCAGTCCATCATCGCCTACCTCCAGAAGAAGGGCTACCCTGAAGTTGCGCTCCACTTTGTCAAAGATGAAAGAACCAGGTTCTTGCTGGCTCTGGAATGCGGCAACGTGGATGTGGCACTCGAGGCAGCTAAAGCTTTGGATGACAAAGCATGCTGGGAGAAACTCGCTGAACATGCACTCATGCACGGCAACCACCCCGTGGTGGAGTACTGTTTCCAGCAGACTAAGAACTACGACAAGCTCTCGTTCCTCTACCTCATCACCGGTAACCTGGCCAAGCTCAAACGTATGATGAAGATCAATGAGATCCGCAAAGATTACGAAGGATGGTACACCAACGCCCTGTACCTTGGTGATGCCAGTGAGCGAGTACGTGTTCTCAAGTCTTTGGGACGCACGCAACTGGCACTTTTGACAGCCAAGACGCATGGACTCGAACAGGTAAATGCTTTTCTTGTGATACAAAATTATTACGACGTAAGCTTATAGGACGTCATTCTAGAAAGCAGGAATAATGCCGATCTGAGCCGTGTTGAATTATATGAGCTAATTTTCACCTTCATTTTTTACCGCCACTTTCTGCGACATTACGGAATTCTAATGTAGCCTCGTTAATTATTTTTGTAATTTAAAAGTTGCAGACGCTTGAAGAATGAAATTCGTAAATTCTCCAATCTGTAGGATACTTTTGTTAACTATTTGACTGACCAAATTTTCCCCAAATCTTGCTCAATTTGGCACGAGCGTACGACGATATTATTGTGAATAGTGTTCCTGTGTGTAATTACAGAATTTTTATGCTTCCAAAAATTGTAACCTTCTATACAAACGCAGAATAAGATTTAAATTGTGTAATAGTCCTTTTTTTATTGGTTATCCATCTTTAAAATTACGAAAATTTCCCCATTTTCAGAAGCTAAAAAGTTCCTGAAAATTCATGTGCATTTTAAGAGTTTAACTGTGTAATGGTCATTTGCTATTGATTCTCCATCTTTTAAAATTACGCAAATTCTGCGAAAAATTACTTTCCTGAAAATTAATGTGCAGGAGGTCGAGAGTCTCGCCAGTAGCTGCGACATTGAGGTGCAAGTGGCCCCAGACGCGACTCTGCTTCAGCCGCCCGTCCCCGTGTACTCCTCTGGCGACGCCCCTTGGCCGGCGCTCACTAAAGCAAAGGGCTTCTTTGACGCCGCACCTTCAGGATCTGGTGCCTCGAAAACCACTACATCCGCTGCCATCTTCGGTGATGAAGAGGATGTCGTGGCTACTGCAGGGGATGGTTGGGGAGAAGATTCTGATGAGGAGGTGACCGCAGCTGCTGCTGCTGCTGGGGGAAGTGGGGAAGAGAAAGGGGAAGGAGGATGGGATGTGGATGACGATGACCTGGAGCTTCCACCTGATCTCGACGTGTCTGTTGCTGCAGGCACCGCCACGGGTGCGTTTTTTTACAAGACTTCTCTTTAACTTCACTTCTTGTTTAGTATAAATTCAAGGAATTATTTGGTCAGGTTGTATCCTCCAAATATTTCATTTAAATCGAGAATATTTGGTAATCGTTTTGTGGATAAGATTACGTATGTTATCATTGTCGAAAAGATTGTTGTTGACTACGTATAGGTTGGTCGAAAAAAAATTTGATTCTGAAATTTCTTCGGGATTAAATTCTGTTGAAAATTATATAATTCGTCTATAAACATGAAGTGAATATCAGACTTCAAAAATATGAATGTTTAGATTCCTGGTTTGATTTAGAGATTTATTACCTACTTAAAAGCACTAAGCTATTAAACTGCAGGAAACAGCGTGACTGCATCTTTGACTCTACAGGTCCGATATCTCTTTATTTTTGTAGTTTTGGTAACGCAATCGTAGGACTCTGGCTGAAGTTATTGCTCTTGTCGAGGTGTCCATATTTCTAACAATTTACTCAGAATATTGCCCTGCGTTCTTTTTGCCTTTAATGGGTCCGAAAATATTTGTTATTTATTTGATCCAATATTCACCTTTACACGTCGATGGTTTTGTTGCAAACTTTATATGTCTAGAAACATAATTCCTTTTTTGGTCTGGTAATCGTGAATTTCATCACTTTCACCCACTACCCGAAAATAATAAATAATTTGTATGCGCTAATGATATATTTGTACGCAACAGACGGCAGCGGCTACTACGTTCCACCGCCGCGTGCACCGCCCCCATCGCAGGGCTGGAGTCAGCGCAGTCAGCTCGCCATCGATCACGTCATTGCTGGGTCCTTTGAGTCTGCCGCCCGCCTTCTGCACCAACAAGTCTGAGCTTATTATCTCATTAGTCTGCTAATGTCTCGTCTTGTGTCATTAGTTTGATAATCTAATATCTCATTAGTCTGATGAAGTAATATCTCATTAGTCAGAAAAAATAATATGTGATTAGTATGATAAAATTGTCTCATTAGTCTGCTAATGTCTCGTCTTGTGTCATTAGTCTGATAAAATTGTCTCATTTGTCTGATAATATAATATCTCGTTAGTCTGATGAAATAAATATCTCATTAGTCTGATCAAATTGTCTCATTAGTCTGGTAATGTCTCGTTTTATGTCATTAGTCAGATAAAATTGTCTCATTAGTCTTCTAAAATAATATCTCATTAGTTTTTGATAAAATAATATCTCATTAGTTTGTGGTAAAATAATATCTCATTAGTATGATAGAATAAAATCTCATTAGTCTGATAAAATTTCAAGTTTGCCAAGAATTTAATTTTCATTAGAGATTCACCGTGTCATCGGAAATGTTTGCGATGGAGATATGGCGAATTTACTTGAGGTTTTCTTCGCTTTGAAATTCTTGGCTAGAGCTTCTCATACGGTATATACCATTTTTATAAGGTATTGTTTGCATCTGTATATTGTACCTGCTTGTCAAGACAAGGATTTTTTTTTATCCGCAGATTGAAGTTAATGATCAGTGAAGCCTAGGTAGCGCCATCTCGGCATGTGGGGCATGTGGTCTGGAGATCAATACAAAATTTATTATTTATTTGAGGCAGTATTTGTATAGGAAAAATTGTATTTCGTGAAATTACACGAAACATTGATTACATTGATTGTCAGAACTATGTCCTCCAATTCAAATTGTCTTCACTGTCTGACAAACTTTAGTCATTTTGTGCGAAAGAGAAATAACCTAATTATTATTTTCCGTTTTTCAAACAAAAATGATATGTTGTTTCTTAACACCAACCTAATTACTGCAGGTTGGAGTGTTTTCAAACAAAAATTATATGTTGTTAAATAAACAAAAACCTAATCACTGCAGGTTGGAGTGGTGAACTTCGAGCCTTACCGCGCACTGTTCCTGGCGAGCTACTCACACTCGCGCACGAGCTTCCCTGGCGCCGTGGGGTTGCCTTCTCTGCTCGCGTATCCTGCGCGCAACTGGCGCGCCGCCGCGCAGAAAGATCAGCTTCCTGTACTTGGCCTCACGCTGCGCTCCTGTATGGACAAACTTAAGGTGCGCAATTAAATTATTTGACTTGAAGATTTTAGGGAGATTTATTACCGTTTGTTACGAATTGAGAATTTGTAGTAGGTAGATTGAGTAGTTGTTAGTATAACTTGAAAATATTTAACGAGAAAATACAATCACACTGTGTTTGTGTATGGACAAACTTATGGTGCGCCATTAACTTCTTATTATGACGTAAAGATTCTAGGGAGATTTATTACCGTTTGTTATGAATTGATAATTTTAGTAGGTAGATTGAGTAGTTCTTAAATTTGAAAATATTTAAGGAGAAAAATCAATCGCACTGTGCTCGTGTATGGACAAACTGCGCTTTAATATAGCCTTATTATTTTTAGTGGCTGAATTAAAGAAACTAGGCATCTTGCTAATGATTTTTAGCTGATAAACTCGATAAGAAACTTTCACTTAAAATGACTTGTGGTCGTGTGGTGGTAAATATTCGGTGCTCTGCAGACATTTCGTGTAAAATCTATTGTGTAGATTTTTGGTAGTGTAAGCCAGAGCTAAGTTAAAGTCTATACAATTAGTTTCATTTGTTTCAGAGTTGGTCGCCGTAGGAATTATTACATCGCAATGCTCGTTTGAAAATATGGTTTCCTACAATAAGGGATTTCTCTCCAAAGTTCGCCTCTAACAAAAACAAATTGATGATAAATAAATTGAAATTTCACGACCGTAATTTTACAAATTACGGTGCTCGTGTCTTCTATTTTTTAGATGGGCTCGGAAAATGCCGTGAACTTAAACTTGAAAGAGAGCTGTACTATTGAGTTGAATTTCTGATGGGAGTAATTTATACATAAATTCGATATTACAATAATGCTGCGAAACCATAATTAACAATGAAAATGAATGAATTTTATAGTAAAATTGGAAATTAGGTTGATGATATTGATATGTATTATTTTTAAATCAATCCTTGTATTTTCACAAATATCACTCCATTATATCAATATATATTCAAATCAATATTTGTAATATATTTAGTATTATAAAATTTAAATTGAATTAACAATAAAAATAAAAATTTTCACTCACGCTTCATTATATCAATTTATATTCAAATCAATATTCGTAATATATTTAGTATTATAAAATTTAAGTCTAATTAACAATAAAAAAAATATTTCGCTCAGGAAGCGTCAGCGTCGCATAAGTATTATAAAATTTAAGTTTAATTAACAATAAAAAAAAATATTTCGCTCAGGAAGCGTCAGCGTCGCATGAGTATTATAAAATTTAAGTTGAATTAAAAAAAATAATTTTTCGCTCAGGAGGCGTCGCATTAGTATTATAAAATTTAAATTGAAGTAACGATAGAAAATTTTTTTTTCGCACAGGAAGCGTCGCATTAGTATGATAAAATTTAAGTTTAATTAACAAAAAAAAATTATTTTTCGCTCAGGAGGCGTAGCATAAGTATTATAAAATTTAAATTGAAGTAACTATAGAAAAAAAATTTCGGCACAGGAAGCGTCGCATTAGTATTATAAAATTTAAGTTTAATTAACAATAAAAAATAATTTTTCGGCACAGGAAGCGTCGCAGCTGACGACGGTAGCCAAGTTCACGGAGGCGGTCGCGGAGTTCCAGGCTGTGCTGCTCTGCGCGCCGCTCCTCGCTGTCGACACGCGTCAGGAGGTCAGTGTTATGGCCTTCATTTCATTTACAGATCATTAATATATTTCTTTTACGAATAAATGTGATAATAATGATGCTTCTCGCCCTCGACACGCGCCAGGAAGTGAGTGTTTTAGTCTTTATTTCATTTAAAGATCATTAATATACCTATTTCTTTTATGAATAAATGTGATTATTATGATGCTTCTAGCCCTCGACACTCGCCAGATCTTCACTCGGATGAATATAAGGATCATATTGCCCAAATAGTGACTCGCTTTCTCACCCACAGCTCGAGCAGAGAACTAAAAATTTTAGCCCTGAAACGCCTGCCTGTTTGCTGGGTCAAACTGGGTCAAGATAACCCAAACAAGTGCAAAAACTGCATCGTTATTTAAATAAACTCTCACTTCTCAGAGTGATTCATTTTTATGTCATTGAAATTGCTTCTTCCATCAATACTTCTGCTAATAATAATATGATTGATAAATGGCTTATTTAAAGTCAATGTTGGCTTAATTTTGATTGCTTTAATATTCTCAGTTTGAGAGAGTATAAATAAGTATAAGTACTTTACACTAAAGTATATAAAGTATCAGGCAGAAGTATCGTCCCAGTTTATGTTAAATTTGATATTAAAGTTTTCGCTTCGCGACCTCAACATCTTTTGGAATCAACCGCGACCAGTCATTGCTCATACGTTGTCTTCATTTTCTTCAGTATACCGACAACCTCAAAGTCATTATTTTAATAGATTTCAGCCATCATCGTTAGCCCAAGAATACATCGTAATTTATTCTCACAATGTCTTGTAATGTGACATTCAGTGTTGAAGATCCATATAGTTCTCTCAACTATTATGAATATCAATATTAATAGTTAGGAAGCTATTCTGATCATTCTGATGACATGAAGGATATTATTGATTATCCACGGCATTAGTAAACAAACATTAATATGCTAATTGTCGTGCACTATTCCATCGCACATGATTTAGGTTGACATGTACAAATAGTAATGGCATTCCATCAAGTTTTTCCGCCGTTGGTCATTATTCAGGCTAATGATACGCCAAACTTGGTGCGTATCTACAATAAATATTAATACTGATAACCAGTATTCCATTACGCTTCCTGTTTTTTGCCGTTATTTAGGTAACGGAAGTGCGGAACTTTGTGCGCATCTGTAATAAACATTAATACTAATAACCAACATTTCATTAAGCTATTATAGTTTTTTTTACTGTTTTTTAGGTAACGGAAGCGCAGAACTTTGTGCGCATCTGCAATGACTATTAATACTAACAACCAGTATTCCATTAAGCTTCATGTTTTTTTCCCGTTATTTAGGTAACGGAAGCGCAGAACTTGGTTCGTATCTGCAAGGAGTATCTGGTGGGCATTCAGATGGAGCTGCAGCGCAAGACTCTTGGCAAGACGTCGCCTGAAGACATCAAACGATCACTCGAGATGGCGGCTTACTTCACTCACAGCGACCTGCAGCCCGGCCATCAGGTTTGATAGCAAAATCCACCTTGGTATTTGTCTCAATTATCAAAATTCGTCTCAAATTGGTATTTAAAAATCCGTCTCAAATTGGTATTTAAAAATCCGTCCCAAATTGGTATTTAAAAATCCGTCTCAAATTGTTATTTAAAAATTCGTCTCAAATTGGTATTGGAAAAATTTTTGACTTCGTCTAGTCTTGCACGTCTTAGTTGTCAAATAGATTCCGTCTCAAATTGGTATTTGACAAATTTTTGACTGACTTTGTCTAGTCTTGCACGTCTTGGTTGTCAAATTGATTCCGTCTCAAATTGGTATTTGAAAATTTTTTGACTGACTTGTGAGTCGAGTCTTCCATTTCTTAGTTATCAAATTTGTTCTTAAAAAATTGTTATCCGTCTTAAAAACCCAATCGAGCTTGTAGGAGATCTAGAACTTATTGGAAATCTCGAAATCAAATACGGTTACTATATAAAATGATTCAAATAAATTCGTATCATTTGTAGGGTTATCATGAGCATGTGAAAAAGTGACGTTTCGGGTGTTGAAAAAAGTAATTATAAGCTCATAAGATTGAATTCATACTTAGATTGAGTGACATTAATTTTTCAGATATTGACGCTGCGCACCGCCGTCAACCTCGCCTTCAAGCTCAAGAACTACAAGATGGCAATGAGCTTTGGTCGCCGTCTTCTTAATCTTGGACCGCGACCTGAGGTTGCCCAGACGATCCGTAAAGTATTGCAGGTGAGTTTTGTTGTATGTTTGCGTAGCCACTGCTTCAAACGCTTGACTTGTCTTCCAAAGTCAAGTACATTTAGAAAATTAAAAGGATACTTGATTAAATACATGTAATTATTTTTAATATTTAGTTAAATAAATTTAATTTAATATGCTAAGTAAAGGAAGCGCAGATTTTGCTGTGTGATCAACCGTAATTGGTGAGAATTTTGTTTTTCACGGAGACCGACAAAATTTAGTGCTGAGTGGCACTCCTGGATTCAAATTTTTGTCATTCACCCGTGAATTTGTTTTGGAAACAAACTAATGCATTTGTTACTTACAGGCGAGTGAAAAGAACCCCGTGGACGCAATAGAAGTTCAGTACGACGAGCATAACCCGTTCAACATTTGCGCCATGTCCTACGTGCCCATCTACAGGGGCAAGCCTGAGGTGACGTGCCCCTTGTGTGGGGCGTCTTACCTGCCTGAGTATGCTGGAAAACTTTGCCGTGTTTGCACCGTAGCAGAAATCGGCAAGGACTGCATTGGCATGAGGGTTTCGCAACTTCAGTTCCGGTAAATCGAGAGTTTTCAAGCAGTTCGATGAATTTTGTTCGCATATTGATAAGAGATTAAGGGATATCATGATTAAAAAGATGGTTGAGATTGCCGCTAGAGGCACCAATTGAAATCAGTGAAATAGATGATTTTTCCTCAACATATTAAATTTTTAGCGTGGAGCAAAAAAGAAAATAGCAACGCGTCGTGTGGATTTCATGTATTCTGTTTACTTTCAGTTAACACCTCTTGGATGTTATAAGAAGGGCTATGTGGGTTGTATACATTTCTTCCAGCTACTAGGTGAAGTAAATGCACTAAGAGGCAATAAAATTACTAAATGGATTTTCAACTCTTATTTATAGATGACAAATATATACAATCCACTTTATTTTAATTTTCTATTCTCGTACTTCTGTTGTTCGTTCATACATAATTTATGCTATCAGTTCTATTATAAAACATCGAGATTTTATATCGTATTAATGACCTTCATGACAAGCAAGTGCATTTAATGGATGGTTGCGCTAAAATTTCCGGCTGGTTGTTAACCTATGACATACATAACAGTTGGAAAAAAATTATGGAATGCGAAGATTTGACCTCGATTATTATACATGAAAATAAACAAAATATTTTGTATTAAGAATGACAGACGGTAAAGTAGCGAAAATAAATACATTAGATAAAATGACGGGTTATATTCCTGTGAAGTCACTTTTTCAAAACGCATCGTAAGTACACTAATTCTCAATAATACTTCAAGCACTGAGAAAAAGATTGTGCAGCACTTTGCATGATAAATTCAATACCTCGCTAGATTAGTTCAGACTGGGAAAATATGAATTTTTGTGCGGCCTGTACCTTACAACTTCAGTTTACAGTCTATGAATAGAAGACCAAGTTTATCACGAAAACTGCTCGTCGGAACTTTAATTACTCATCATGCCCTCAAAATCCTTTTAAATAAAATAATAATGCACCGAATACAAATAGAAGGTAGGCTGTTGTTGCTCTACTTTAACCTTGCCTTTATCGTTGAATTTAAAGATGAAGTCGTGTGTTGCCTGATGGTAACTGTCATTCTAGCACAGGAAGTACAGATTCATATTTAAAGTTGACAGTAGAATAATTTTGCCCTGCGCGTTTTTCGCCTTCATCACGTATCTTTTTGAATAGATATAGCAATAACATTAATTAGTTGCAGAGCAATTTAATAGTTTTTCATTCACGCATTTAAATGCAAGTATAAAAACTTCCGACGGCGCGTTCTGTCACTGCTCACAATTATGAGATCAGACCAGCTTGAAATAACAATTTGTGAGGCACGAAACATCAGCAAGTGACAAATTGGATAATATTTAAAGCTTAACGGATTACATGTATTCAAACATAAACAAAATACTGCAGATATTATCCAACTACGAAGCATTTTATACCAAGAACTGACAAGTCAATAAAATGATCAAGTTGCGACATAAATGACTGATTTATTTCATTTTAATTTACAAATAATTATTTTTCACTATGAATGCATGTAAAATAATTAAACTAACAGTTAATTTATTCTTCAGAATCAATATAGATCATGTAGTTAAATGTTTTGAATAAGATTATAACGAAATTTATATTCATCGTACTCGAATACAGCCAAAAATAAAGGTTGAAAGCTTGAACGGCAATGAACTTGATACAGTGAATTCCACTAGTTCAATTTTGTTTGTATTCCTGAAGGAAAAGGATCTATTTGATATCTAATCTAATTGATATTAAACCATGCAAGTACTTCATATCTCAAAATTAAAACAGATACTAACATGAAAACTTTGAAGATAAAGTATACACAGTAGATTATTTCGCGCCATGAAACAGTAAAGTTTGGTAATGGAACATTACTGAATGAGAGCAAGTCGGTCAAAAACGTAGGAGTGCAGCGATTTGGAATTATGAATGCAAGAGACAGGACACCTCGTAAATTATTGCACTCCCCTTAAGTTGATTGAATACGGAGAGTTCTATTCATACAGACTATAGACAGGATTATCTTGATGAAATAAATGTCACTACGGCGGCTAATGGAACCGCTACGTATGTTAAACGCAATCATAATTGAGTATCCGGTACCTGTTTCAATAGTTCTTGGAATCGCTGAAAAAGAGAAGATAAATCCGAGTCGCCCACCCTGCTGACGTATTCATGGACCACGGCGAGATGTCGCTCCAGCTCGTGATCAGACTCGACTTGCGACACTTCAACCTCGTCTCTTGATTCCTTGCCGATCAGGACTTGTGCGATCATGTCATCAACGGTCAATTCATCACACACTTGCAACAACGCATCAAAGTTGACGTAGTTATCCATGGAAAATCCGTTAGGGACATGGTCTAGTTTTCTGTACTCCTCCAGTAATTCAGGAACGAGTTTAACCACATTTTCACTTACGTGGTTGGGAAGCCATCCGCTGTATCTGTTAAGGCCAGTTTTGTGAAAGCCTTCGATAATTTCACGGTTGCAGATACCTTCCCAGGCCTTCCCAAGTAATGATATGTGAACACTTAGCGGTAATTTAATACTGTTGCGATCTTCAGAGCAAAGTTCATTGACTTTCTCTTTGTCTTTTAAAAGCTCTGACAACAATCCTTGACGGTATAGAAGTTTAAAAGTAGGAACCACGTTTGAGCGCAGAGGTAATGTAGAAGGAGGCCGCAATTGGTAAACAACCAGAGAGTTGAACTTGTGACGCATGTTGCCTTGCTGCACTGGTAGGTCTGAAACAATCATCAAGACTTTCCTCCTGTGCTGTGAAAACCAGTCGTCCAAGTCAAGCAGCCAAGCAAACACGCTTTCTTTCGTTAGCCAGGAATCAGGATCGTAGATATACTGGACCGGAGAATCGGGTACAAGTTGACGGTACTGAATTTTCGGTATAGCTCCTACCACAAGCAAGGGGAATTTTTCCGATCCTATTGCGTTAGCACACAGTAAAACTGTAAATCTTTCGCTAGACTTAAGGCCACCAGCACACCTATTTCCGCTCAATGAAGGGGCATAACGTGGCAACGCTTTGTAAAATATGCCGACCTCTTGCAAGGTAAAAACATTGCAGGGATCGTGATAAATTAACGCGTCTCCAAGCGGGAAAGTTTCAGGCTGTAGATTCAAGTCACCAGCTGTAGCTTGATCACTGGACTCTTTAATCATGCTTGCTTTATTAAACGCGATGTTGTTCCTCTTCTTGAATCGATCCAGCCAACCGTGTGAAGCTTTGAAATCTGAGTGGCCCAACCTAGCTGCGATATCCATCGCTTTCGAGCATAGTTGGGAGCCTGTGACCGGACCACTGTTGCTTGCAATCATCTTGTGATACCAATGACAGAGAACACGTTCCAAGTCTTCTCTCTTTGCTCCTTTAAGTCTCTTTGTACCAGGAGTGAAGGTGCCTTCATTCCAGCACTGGAGATATTTCGAAGAGTTTTTCACTATCGTCTTAACCGTATTGAAGTTTAAGTTATATTCTTCAGCGAGACTTCTTTGTTTTTCGCCAGCCATGACCCGCTTGACTATATCAACTTTCACCTCCAAGGTTAACCGGCATCGCCTTTGCTTGTAAACGCCATCTTTAAACTCGTCATCCATAGGAAAATTTACTTCAACATTGCATCTCCTTTGCAAACTACTCCTCTCATTTGCGTAAGTTTTTCCTTTGAGAGTCAGACGTTTCCTCCGCTTCTCTGATCTACCATCAGCGATAAAATCGTCCCGAGCACCAGCTGGATGCAAGTAAGTGTCATCCTCATTTATTTCAGCGCTATTCCCAGCCTGAGGTTCTGAAGTACTGCTCATGACGACATCGGTGTCGATATTGACGCTGTCGAGACGGACGGCAAACGTGCCAGTACTGTTAACATCTTGAAGCACTGATTCATCAAGCAAATTTTGATTGCTTCCGTTAACATCTTGTAGACTTGTACCGTCTAAAACTCTGTAGACAACGTCATTTTTAAGATGCACACTGCTACTGCTCTCCGATGCATCGCACGCTGACAAATGAACAGGGCTGGTGATATCGTCGTTACTGATGATACTGGGACACTCGAAAGTAACAGCATCGTACAGCACTGAACTTTTAGTGGTAACTGCGTCTTCAGAGCAATGGTACATTTCGCATCCGTTTTACCTTTTCGATTTTAGAATAAATCAAGAGTTAACCATGCGTAAATTTAGATGGATAATTTTGAAGTTGCTGATCAATTAGAAGGCTTTAGCCCAATATCGTGTCTAGGTAAATTTAATATAGTAATCGATAAAAAAAATCGCATGAAACAATTAAGAAATTGCCACCTGAAAAAAGAATAGATTTTAGACACAATTGCAAAACATTGCTATCTCAGGAAACTTGATAAATAAATTCTCTATCTAAAACAACAGATCATTACAATTTCACTGTATTGAAAGTTGGACATAATCGAAAGAGAATAACCTGCGATCAACAAAAGCGCGCAAACAAATGTACAGAAAATTATAAATAAAAGCGATTCTTAGCAATTATTCAAAATGAGGCCAATATGTATGAAAAAAAATTAGAATTCAGGCAAACAAGATACCAGTAAAAAAGTGACGATACCTACGTGACGACAGCAGTAATTAAGAGTTGAACTAAGTAGAAACGTAGATTTTTTTCTAGTTTAAAGGATCACACGCCTTAAATTTTAAGCGTTTTTTCTAGTTCTTCATAATCCAGTATAAAAAATATGTATTCTATAAGAGAAATGAAAAGATAAAAGTACATACAGGGTATTTCACGGAAACTTCCCGTTTTGTATTTTGCGCCAAGCAGCCAGATGTTGTAGGAAAAATTCGGAATTATTTATTATGAAAATCAAGGTCATGAAGCTTTGTGCCCCGCCTAGTTACTGGCCACTTTGTATTTGACAAGTGAGCAGCGTGCGTTTGCTTTCGAGGCGTACTTTTCTAATGGCCGTTCCATTATCGCTACTCAACTAGCATTCCGTACTCTGTTCAGTATTCGTCCCTCAGGTCGGGTTCCTGATCTTTGAGGAAAACGAACGCGCAGTATCGGTGACAATCTCGGTACTCGCAAATGATTGACGTCTTTTGTCTGCCTAAACAGGCTGAAATGAATGTCAAGGATATCAGGTTCCATCGGGATGGAGTCACGGCCCACACATTGCTATGTTCGTGGATCTTCTGAGACAACATTTTGCAGAGCACCTCATCTGCTTGAGAGGTGACCTCCTTTTGGCCAGCCCGATTCCTCGATTTGGCTTCGTGTGATTTTTTTATTGGGTTGTCTTAAATCATTGTTTACAATAACTGTCCAAGAACCCTACCTCATTTGAAGAACAACATACGCCAAGCCATCGTCAACATAAGCGTCAATATGCTTCAGCGAGTTGAACGGAATGCATTGACAATAGGGGCCGTCATTTGCCCGATGTCTAAAACTAAGTGATATAAAAATTCAGGTGATGTCTTTTTCAATGAAATTTATATTGACAGGATATCTTCATTATTTTTCAGTAAGCTTTCAAATTAGGAAGTTTCCATGAATCACCTTGTATAAACTGTCAAACAGTGATACCAGACTTAATCTTCATCAATGATTCGTCTATGAGACAATGTAATTTGAGAAAAACAGAAGAAAGTTCAGGGCAAGCCGGCGTCTTCTTTTGAACATGCGACTGTAGAAATTGTAGGCTACAGAACAACGCATTTTCATTGAAAGAGTCACATTTATTAGTATCGCTGTGTATTTTGGCGCTACTACTGGTCATCTCGAGCTTAGACCTCGTGATAACAATGGGGAGTGACTCGCCCACATCCTCCAACTCAGATTCAGACTCTTCTTTTGCTTGTTCCTTGGCAGTGACTGCAAAAATTATCGCATCATCATCCATTAACTGGCACACTTGCACATCGTCGTCAAACGATACGAAATCGTTGAACGTAAAGTTAGGGTCTATTTTGAAGCCATTCTCTTTAAGGCTGTGCAAGAGCTCGAGGTTGTCCGCAGCCAAACTGTTACTTGACATATCATTGACTGACCAGGGTCCATACTTAGAGAAACCCGCACGAAGAAATCCATTGCAAATCGCTGTCGTACTAACATTTTGCCATGCTCTTGCAAGGAAATGAAGAGCTTGCACCAAGGAAACCTTCGAAGTTTTCGGATAACCAGGATCAGATTTTCGAGACGAGAGTATGTCCAACACAAGTTCAATTACTGATCGCCGGTACTGTTGCTTCACACATTTATTAATACCCAACTTCATAGGCCCCTTGAAGATGAGGGGAGCGCTAACTATTTTGATGGCATTTAGCCCAATGTCTGTGGGATGTACAGGCGAAGAGGAGACGAGAAGCAACACTTTACGTTTAGTTTCATTAAACCAATTGTCTGTGTTTATTAGCCAAGTTTTGAAACAGTTTGCAGTCATCCAAGACTTAGAGTTGAAATAATACTGTATGGGGAACTTACTAAGCAGTTCGTTAGTATTAGGCACTTTATAACGGCCCAAGACCACAAGAGGAAGCTTTTCAGAACCATTCATGTTGCAGCAAGCGAGGACTGTGAGACGTTTAGAGCTTAAGCCTCCGTTGCAGCATCTCACAAGACTTGTATCAACACAATCATCAGGGAGTGCCGAAAAAAATAAGCCAAATTCATCGGCAAAAAATATGTCTCTGGCTTCGTATTCCATGAGCAACGTAGGTAAAGTAACAGTATTGAAATTCTGAGGATTGTTATCCAAATCAGGCAGATCGTAGCCTGCAACTGAGGTTTTGATAGGTTTAACATTACGATGCAGCTGTAGACCTTTTCGGTGTTTAAATCTGTCCAACCAGCCGTTCGATGCTTTGAAGTCCTTGTGACCAAGTTTGAGAGCGAAATCTTTAGCTTTCTTGCATAATTTGGGCCCAGTAATCGGTGTGTTCATTTTCATTCCTTGTTGGTACCACATATAGACAGCTTCCTCGACATCTTCTCTAACAGCTTTTCGTAATCTCTTGCGATCGGCAGACAGTTTACCACCCTCTTCCAGTTGCAAATACTTTTCGGAATTTTTTATTATGGTAAGTAAAGTTGATTTGCCAGCATTGTACTCGAGTGCGAGATCAGTCAATCTTTCTCCAGCTTTTGAACGCTTGATAATTTCTATTTTTGACTTCATGTTGAGTGAACCTCTTTTTTCAGACCCATGAGTTTTCAAGTGACGCTTATAAAAATATAGATTAGTGAAAACCATCGTACAACCCGGACAGGTGTATGAAGTTTGGCCCGATTTAGTTGAATTATTAGTCGTCATTTCTGAAGTTGATGAAGTCATCTGCTCGTCACCAGTAGAAGTATTGTTGAGCACGTTACTACTAATAATAGGGCAGTTGATGGCAGGTGCAAGTTTTGGCTTCGCCATCAAAGGACGGTTCACAACACTGTTAGAAACCGGTATAGATGTTTCGGTACGAACAGAAGAGGAAGGTAGACCAAGAATAAGCGGAGAACCTTGCACATCAACAACGATACGATCACACGCCACCTCTGTATCTTCCACAATCCGTGGCTGTAAAGGCCCATTGCAAAAAATGTTTTTCCCTTGAATTGTTTGTACCACGGAAGAAGTTAGTGGAAACGTGTTGGAAATTTGAGGTGAGGACATGACTCCGTGAACTAATTCAATTTCAGTGCTAGTTACAGATGGGGCGCTAGAGTTAACAATAACTTGGTTATTTCTGGACGTATTGATGCTTATTCCCTTTCCGGTGGGTTGACTGTGTGGCGAGTAAACAACAACAGAATCAACAGGTTCGCCACAAACCTCAGTTGGGAAACTGGGGAGTATGATTTGACCACCATCATCTTCCGATTTGTTTTGTGAGGAATAAGCAAAAACATTACCGGCATACGGATAAGACGATGAACAATTATAATTGCTGTTAGTGCCTTCATCGTTCACTTCAATACCCGCCGGTTCATCTATATTATTAGATGAAGCGTGTGGTAGGGAGTGAATTTGAATCACGTTAGTCTTCGGTAAAATAGAGAATATCTGCCCGGGAGAGACAAGTTCTTTTGTGGTAAACACAGACTCTGAAGATAGCAAGCCAGCCTGGGCTGACATGTTCGCTATTTGGTAATGTGGAAATACGACGCCTTGAGTAATCATTTGTTGAGAGTTAGAAGAGGGAGACCAATTAATTTGCGATATTTGACCATCAATTGAGTTCGAAATTGTGTATGGCACTAAAACAGGATGGCTAAATTGTTGAGGCATGTTCACAAATGACTTCGCGTCAGTCTTAATGCTACGAGCTGGCGGATTAGAAACTTCTTGGAACAAATTGGCACCTCCAATCATCTTGTGTCCCAGCGAGTTCGCATCACCGACTGCTGTTGAGTTGTGGCATGATTTATTGTTTGCAGGGAACGCGGACGACTGTGATAGCTCAGTTAGTGGTGCTAAAATTAACAGCGGTTGCTGCAACTGACTACTTTTCATATGAGAAGATATCGGAGAGGATTCCGCTTGCTGAAATCCTGGTGTCATCGAGTGACAAGCTTCAGCATTTGAATAACTTGCATTTTCTCCTTGAGTTGCAGCCACGCCTAAGCTAGGAGCCATATTTCTAAGCTGTACCACGCGATGTGCTGGATGCGAGCCATCAGAATTGTTTCTCACAGGAACTACAGATTGCAGACGACCGTAAGAAACATCACCCATTGCCATCGAGTAGGAAATGCCTGCAGAAGCTGGTTGACACTGAGAACCTTCACACATTGAACCAGATGCTGCATATGCCAAATAATCCAGCCCATTTACATCCTTAGTATTGACCTGATGGGCCATCATTCAAACACTTAGCAATTTAAATCTGGAAACAGAAACCTACATGTTAATCATTATATAATTTAATTTTTATATATATATACTTGATACTTCAACTATATGTATATCAGTACTTTTTATATGCTACATACTTTTGCATTTATAATATACTCTGAAATTTGAAATTGGGAAAACTAATTGATAAATAATAGAACATCTGCACTAAATTTTCCATAAATAATTCAAATTGCTTGCTTGAATTACAACAAATGATGCAGAAGAAATGATCAATATTATATTTAATTCCTCATTGTTGAATGAATTGACCTGCAAGAAGTCAGAACATAAGCATTTTTCCCAAACAATAACAAAATAGTCATAATACAGAAATTTCCCTCATCATGAACTTTCAGATATTCATCATATATATTACCTACACTTTGAAATTGGTATTTTTTATTAGGCACAGCATGTACGGATGAGGGCAAATTTGTTTAAATTTTGAATGTATATACTCTTCTATATTTAGACAAATGAATGATTCAAGATTGAAAGCATTTGTAGAATTTATGAGGATAGTTAAAAAAAAGCAACATTAGAACTTTATGCTCAGACTTTTAGTAAACTAGTGAGTTCAAACAGACACAGGAATAAAATATAAACAATTTACTTCAAAACAATACCTATAGGTACATAAAATTGTGTTTTGAAATCTCTCCATATTGTTAATCATAATTCCCAACATAGAAATTTAAACCAAATAAAATAATGTTCATTTGGGGTTCTCAGTAAACCTGTCAAAAATTACTCACAAACCTCTAGGAGCCATTTCTTGAAAATGATTCAATTTTTATGCAAGTTATCTATATAAATGCATACCATAAAAGGGGTTACTCTGACTCCTGGGGTAACTTCAACCACTTTTAGTTTTTTTAACAAAACCCCCCAAAACTCAAAAACTATTTGACAAATCTTGTCAATGGGCATTAAAGGCCTAATACTGAGGCTTCGTAACACAATAGAAAGATAAAAAATTAGGCATATCTAATAGGTTAAAAATGAAAAATGTGACCCACGAAAAAGAGCTATTATTTAAAGCCTGTCATAGAACCCATTCCAATTTTTTTATTTTTGGTAAAATAATTCCAGATTTTGGTGCATTGTAGTAGAACTCTTCTAGTTACATATGCAAATGACAAATTTGAGGAAAGTGTCATAGTTTGCAAATGGGGGGAGCTGCCCTTCAATGGGGGAACTAAGACCACCTAATGTCAGCCCTGATGGGGTAATATTGATTGGCTTGGAAATAAAGTCAAGGTACCATATATAACATATTCTATGTTTGATACACCTATTAATGTTTTTTCTTAATGTCTTAAGACTCTACTGAGTCTTATATATGGTAATTTTAACTTAATTTCCAAGCCGGTCAATATTACCCCATCAGGGCTGCCATTAGGTGGTCACATTTCCCCCATTATGGGGCGGTGCCCCCCATTTGCAAACTATGATACTTCCCTCAAATTTGTCATTTGCATATGTAACTAGAAGAGTTTTACTACAATGCACCAAAACCTGGAGTTATTTGGAGTTATTTTAACAAAAAATAAAATTGATTTTACCACCCAGTCAAAGAAACCCCAAGAGCTGGGGTAACAAAGACCATAATTTTTGAAATTACATCACAACTATGAGAGGCAGGAGCCAACAATTTATGGTGAGTGAACCTTGAGTATAGACCTGTATTTTGCACATTTCAATTTAAGTTTAATTTAGCTAGTAAAAAAATTGCATCATTTAAAAAAAATGGTCAAAGTAACCCCCTTTTACGGTACCAATTTTGTTGAAATATTTAATGAGATAGAAAAATTCTATACATTATATATTGTTTTTGGTAAGAAATTTTTTCTTTGAAAAGATAAAATTTGCTTTGTGCAGTTATTTGCTTGTCAATCAACAATACTTGAGATGTTATTGATTTTCATCAATGGTTATATCAAGCCATAGACAGTGACAGGTTGTATTGAGTTTTCTTGAAAAATGTATAAACACTTTTTAAAATATTAAAATTGAATAATATGAACCAATTTTCTTGAGCAAATTAAACTCAAGCCTAAAGATAAGGAACTGACAGGCACTGGCCTGGCAGCATGGATTCCTGTACATTTCTGATTACTATTATTATTGTTATTATTATCATAGTTATTTCCTCTGCACCCATAACTCTACTTCCAAATGAGGTCAGTGTTGACATTTTTCATAATACTTCAGCTATTCATTTGTTACCCAGTGTAATAACAAAAATCTACAAATATAAACAAAAAATAAAATTGGAGAAAAATTTTGTTGAGGCATTTCATGAAAATTTTTCTCAGCAGCCATGTTGAAACAAAATTTGTTAACTTGTCAATTACAATCAGCAATGTTGCCTCTACATAATTAATTTTTAAATATAAACAAATTTTTTATGCATTGTTATTTTTTTTAGTGATAAAATAACAATTTAAGTTCTGTAAAATCAAGAAAGTTTCAACATATTAACTTTCAGATCATTGCCTCAAAAGTAAAAAAGTTTTGCTAATTTGTGGCTCAATTGTGCACTTTTGTCAACAATTAAACAGGACAAAATTTGTCTAGCAAGAATCCTGCAGCTCCAAAAATGTCAGGAAACCTCTAGTCATGACTTTGACAGTATACTGGCAAACCAAATACCAAAGAGTTTTAGAACACTTCCTTTTTGAGTCCTGTGATTAAACCAGTGAAGTACCTATCATTAATACCAGCAAACCGGGTATATTAGGCAGAAAAAATAATTTCACAGTTGATTTTTGAAAATTGCAGGCAAAAATTTTCTATTTCACGCATCTTTAACTGAAGAAATTGGTCAAGGGCCATAGCCCATAGGAACAGGTAAAATTGATTGTGAGAACTGGCATTTTGGTCTCATTCACAAGTGGCTTATAAATAGGAATTTTTAAGTTTGGCTTTATTATAATAGCATTATCATACAAAGATATTCCATAAAATTGTAAATTTGGATCAATGCAAATACCTTGCCAGTAGCCATAGTGCTTAATTTGCTGGGGTTCAATAGAAACAATCTATTTTATAAACAAAACTGAACATCTATTTAGGGCAATTAATACAGCATTGTAGATGTAATTTGGATATCTAACCCTAAAAATTGTACTTATTGTAGTAGTGAGCAGTATTTTAGTTTTTAGTGACAAGTCACAGGTGACTAGGCAAATACAGTATATATATCCATATACAGGGTGTCCCAAAAAAACAATATGCAAATTTTAATGGCTGTAACTCAAAAAGTAATAAAGTTAAAAATTTTTGAAAGGTCAAGATTTGTTCCCTATGTTTTTCTGCATCTCTTCACCAAAAATCAGACAGATCGATGTAGCCATGAGCGTTTGATAGAACTTTCAGTGACATGTGCTAAAATCGTGCTTGCGCAAAGTTTTAGTAAGATAATTTTGCATACCTAATCATTACGTTGTCTTGACATGTTTTCTTTTCGCTGTTTTATTTTTGGTATCTTTGGTGAGACAAAAACATGACAATCTTTGGTGAAACACAATCATGGCAATTTTTGGTGAGACACAATCATGGCAATCTTTGGTGAGAGACAATCATGACAATCTTTGGTGAGACAAAAACATGGCAATCTTTTGTGAGAGACAATCATGGCAATCTTTGGTGAGAGACAATCATGACAATCTTTGGTGAGACAAAAACATGGCAATCTTTGGTGAGAGACAATCATCACAATCTTTGGTAAGACTCAATCATGGCAATCTTTGGTGAAAGGCAACCTTTGGTGAGAGGCAATCTTTGGTGAGAGGCAATCTTTGGTGAGAGGCAATCTTTGGTTTTGAAATTCCCTCTCACCAAAGATTGCCATGATTGTCTCTTACCAAAGATTGCCATGTTTTTGTCTCACCAAAGATTGTCATGATTGTCTCTCACCAAAGATTGACCATGATTGTGTCTCACCAAAGATTGTCATGATTGTCTCTCACCAAAGATTGTCATGATTGCCTCTCACCAAAGATTGCCATGATTGTGTCTCACCAAAGATTGCCATGATTGTGTCTCACCAAAGATTGCCATGATTGTGTCTCACCAAAGATTTTCATGATTGTGTCTCACCAAAGATTGTCATGATTGCCTCTCACCAAAGATTGCCATGTTTTTGTCTCACCAAAGATACAAAAAATAAAACAGCAGAAAGAAATCATGTCAATACAACATAATGATTATGCAAAATGATCTAACTAAAACTTTGCGCAAGCCCGATTTTAGCACACGTCACTGAAAGTTCTATCAAACTATTACTATTTTTTGAGTTACAGCCATTCAAACTTGAGTATCGTTTATTTTGGGACACCCTGTATAGTTGCAAATGACAGATTTTTAGAAACCAGTTCATTTTCAGAAACCAGTTAATCTCATCTAGTTAAAAATAATATACAGTTAAAATTTCAAAATATATCTACCTTTTCCAGACATAACAAGAGCTTACCAGCCATTTTTGCATGCATGCCATTTGTACTAGTAAAATAATCTCTCATTTCATTATTAACAAAAGTGCATGATTGGGCTGTAAGGGCAAAAGATTCCAAATTTATTGAAAATATGTCACTACAGAGCCAAAAGATTTTAGTAATTCATAAAAAATTCCAATCTTGCTCATGTCTGCAAGGCTGCAGCCTGGAAGAAAGTATAAGTTTATTATAATTGCTTGTACTTTGTACTCATTTCAAAATTGGAAATGCTGCATATTTCTACCATCAAACGGGGTAAAAAGGGATGGTTTTGGGCATTTTTGTTAATACCTTCTTACCATGAAACATTTCAGAAACAAGTTTAGGCTCATTTTATAGCTCTTTGCGAAGGCTATCCAATGGCATCTTCAAAAAAATTCCATATGCTATTCTTAAGGTGCCAAAGGCAAAATAAAACCATTCCGATTTACCTCTGGGAATGGGGTTATCTGGGACATTTGCAATAAAAGTTAATTTTAAAACGTTTGAAG